ATGTATAGGACTCTGAACCGCGATGGTACTCCGAACCGCGATGGTCCCGCTGATGTTTGATAGTTTGACGCTGAAGTGCGATGGTGGCATTATGTTGTTTTTGCTGTGCCGAAGTGCGATGGTGGTAACGCTGAGTTGCGATGGACTACATAATCTATATTTTCTTTTTTGGTCTTTTGGAAAATGTTGTTTGTGCTGTATTTAGACCCCTCTAACAAGAAATTCGTTTTGCATGCACACATATAAAAATTGCGGTTTTTATCCAACGCAATCATAGCTTTGAACGTTGTTTTCAATTTAGACTTATTTTCTATATTTTTCATATTCACATGTCGATGTAGAAGTCAATTTGTTTGTTAGATGTAGCACATGTCGATATAGAAGTCAATTTGTTTGTTAGATGTAGCGCATGCCGATGTAGAAGTCAATTTGTTTGTTAGATGTAGCACATGTGGATGTAGAAGTCAATTTGTTTGTCAGATGTAGCACATGCCGATGTAGAAGTCAATTTGTTTGTCAGATGTAGCACATGCCGATGTAGAAGTCAATTTGTTTGTCAGATGTAGCACATGTCGATGTAGAAGTCAATTTGTTTGTCAGATGTAGCACATGCCGATGTAGAAGTCAATTTGTTTGTCAGATGTAGCGCATGCCGATGTAGAATTCAATTTGTTTGTCAGAAGTAGCGCATGCCGATGTAGAAGTCAATTTGTTTGTCAGATGTAGAACATGTCGATGTAGAAGTCAATTTGTTTGTCAGATGTAGCACATGCCGATGTAGAAGTCAATTTGTTTGTCAGAAGTAGCGCATGCCGATGTAGAAGTCAATTTGTTTGTCAGATGTAGAACATGTCGATGTAGAAGTCAATTTGTTTGTCAGATGTAGCACATGCCGATGTAGAAGTCAATTTGTTTGTCAGATGTAGAACATGTCGATGTAGAAGTTTGTCAGATGTAGCACATGTCGATGTAGAAGTCAATTTGTTTTTCAGATGTAGAACATTCCGATGTAGAAGTCAATTTGTTTGTCAGATGTAGAACATGTCGATGTAGAAGTCAATTTGTTTGTCAGATGTAGAACATGTCGATGTAGAAGTCAATTTGTTTGTCAGATGTAGCACATGTCGATGTAGAAGTCAATTTGTTTGTCAGATGTAGCTTTTCAGTTTTGTTAAGTAAAACATAAAGAGTATAACAGGGTATATAATAACATTCATTAACAGGTTATCTCCTAACTATCCTACTGCCTGTCGATACTTTTATTTTGGCATTGCACAAGTCATGTCTTCTTTGACTGTCCATGACGTTAAAATACTAATTCCTGGGATGTGTTTTAGTTGATTTTAGTTTCTGATGCATGATTTTTTATTATTAATTGTTTTTGGCTTTTAACTAGCTTCCAGTAACTGCGAGTACTCTAAAATCGTACTTTCGTGTTAATTTGACCTGTTGATATAATTTGTAATGTATTTTTGTTATTTAATGTTTACTTATTCAGTGTTATATCTATCTAGTCTCACTATTTCAAATATACACCATCTTTTATAAGTGTTTAGTATGACGATAAATTTTCACTTTTGTTTTCGTACTAGGAACAACAAAATTATTTATTTTGTAAAAATTATTTCCGGTCTCCATGTATACCTTACAACAAAATTATTTTTATTTACCTGCGTACGTTATTTTATTTGGCGGCATTTTGTCCAAGGTTATGGTTGTCTTTTTGATATTGTTTTACATCTAACCCCCTTGTTTTATTAATTTTGAATTAACATTGTGTCATAGATCAAATTTATTCGTTCAATGTATGTTCACTTGTTTTTTTTAATGTGTCTTTTGATTGAGTTAAGCCATTTCAATTGATATGTTATAGTGTGTCTTTCTATGTTGTGATGTTACACCATTGTTTCGGGTAGGGTGAAGGTTGGCGCCTATTAAAACGTTTAAACCCGCTGCATTTGTTTGCACATGTCCTAAGTCAGGAACCTGATGTTCAGTGGTTGTCGTTTGTTGATGTGGTTCATAAGTGTTTCTCGTTTCTCGTTTTTTATATAGATTAGACCGTTCGCTTTCCTCTTTAAATGGTTTTACACTAGTCATTTTTGGGGCCCTTTATAGCTTGCTGTTCGGTGTGAGCCAAGATTCCGTGTTGAAGGCCGTTCTTTGACCTATAATGGTTTACTTTTACAAATTGTGACTTGGATGGAGAGTTGTCTTATTGGCACTCATACCACATCTTCTTATATCTATAGACCGTTGGTTTTCCTGTTTGAATGGTTTTACACTAGTCATTTTTGGGGCCCTTTATAGCTTGCTGTTCGGTGTGAGCCAAGGCTCTGTGTTGAAGGCCGTACTTTGACCTATAATGGTTTACTTTTACAAATTGTGACTTGGATGGAGAGTTGTCTCATTTGCACTCATACCACATCTTCTTATATCTATAGACCGTTGCTTTTCCTGACGTGTTTAAATGGTTTTACACTAGTCATTTTTGGGGCCCTTTATAGCTTGCTGTTCGGTGTGAGCCAAGGCTCTGTGTTGAAGGGCGTACTTTGACCTATAATGGTTTACTTTTACAAATTGTGACTTGGATGGAGAGTTGTCTCATTTGCACTCATACCACATCTTCTTATATCTATAGACCGTTGGTTTTCCTGTTTAAATGGTTTTACACTAGTCATTTTTGGGGCCCTTTATAGCTTGCTGTTCGGTGTGAGCCAAGGTTCCATGTTGAAGGCCGTACTTTTGCCTATAATGGTTTACTTTTACAAATTGTGACTTGGATGGAGAATTGTCTCATTGGCATTCATACCACATCTTTAAAGGTGACGAAGATATACCACTGTGATATGTATGTTGTCTTGGTGTTTTGGGGGGTAGCTGTCTCATTGATGTATAGCATCGCATCTCTTTTTATCAGTCATACAAAAAAATCAGTGCAGAGGGTCTTTGTACGATCCTCCGTCGGAGAATAAGATATGGGTATTCGCTGCTTTCCCGTTAAGCACACAATAGTTAAGAGTAAATGTAGGGTGACGACATGTCTTCTTAGCAATCTGGCACGTTCAAAATCCAGTATGTTAAATACAAAACATATTATATACCTGTTAAAAACGCGTGATAACCACAAAATATATCATAAACCCGGTATGGCTTTTCGTTGTATCAATTTCAGGGTAATTCAAGTTAAATTGGATTTTATTTCGCTTTTTTTATTTGAAAAGCGCAAATATTTCGGGATGAATTACTAATATAAAGAGTTTTGTACATGGTGTCGAATTTCAGTTGCGCAGCTGAAAATAAAAGAAAACTCGAAATGTAACGCGACATGATAAATTTCGCCTTTCACTTATACAATTGCATGTTTTCCATTTTATCGTAATATATATAATACATCACTTTAATTTTTACACAATGATATCGTGACATTTGTTTAATAGTATCTTATAATCTATTATTTTTTCACTGCTAGCTGAAGTAAAGGTAAACTTAAGCAGTTAAATGTAATGAGAAAACTTCAATCATAATTCTCTACTAGATCTCTTTCAACTAATTCAAACTTTCTAACTGACAAATAAATTGAGATTTTCACAGAAAATGTTTTGATATATAACATTTGAGTAAGATACTTATGAATTAAAAACTCCTAATTGTTTTGCGTAGTTTATTATTTCCAGTCATATGATCTGACATTGGACAAATGGTTTGCCACCAACGCAGTGTTCATCTAAATACAAAACACATGTACTACCACGTCTGTTAGTGGTCTTAAAATATTAGAAAATGTTCATGTGGATGCATTCGGGTAGACCGGTGTCTTCCGCTCGTCGTCTTGAATTGTAAACTAGCAGAAAACACTCGGTCTAGATCTCTAATGAAATATGCCGAAAAATTTTGAGGCAGGAATGCAATTCATTATTTTTATTAATTATTATTGCATTGGTCTTACATGGTGTATACAAATGTGTGAATCTTATACTTAGCTATTTTGTTCTAAAAACGAGAAATTATGATACCTTTGTTTGAACTGATCTATCTTTTCTTTTTAATTCTACAGGAAATCTGTTCCAAAGAACAGTACAGAAATATTGAAATGTATATATTTTATGAAGCCAGCATGATATAACTTGACTACATTTTTGTAAAAGTGTCAAAACAATCTATCATCTTTTTTTATGATTTAGACGCCATCTACCCTGAGACTGCTATTATGTTTTGCTCACACATTGTTGTCAATATGATGGAATTTGGAATTCTATGAGACTGTCATACAAGTGAGAAGATTAGCTAGCTGTAAAACCAGGTTTAATCCACTATGTTCTACATCAGGAAATGCCTGTACCAAGTCAGGACTATGACAGTTGTTTTCCATTCGTTTGATGTGTTTGAACTTTTGATTTTGCCATTCGTGTTATAAAGGACTTTCCGATTTGAATTTCCCTTGGAGTTCGGTATTTTTGTCATTTTACTTTTCACAGGCGCTTGGGTACGGGACTGTATTTGAAAAAAAATTTGTTTGCACTAAATATTCCTTTTCTATTTTTATGGTAAGAAACACATACTTAACAGGTAAATTTCACCCGAAACAAGGTAAGATAATTACAATTTTATACTTAAGTTTAGTTATATAAGAGATTAATTTAACTAAGACAAGAAAAGACAAGTAATGTCAAGTATGTGGTAGAAAATTGTATTTTCAGTGCAAATAATGGAGAGAGAAAAATATCCATATCCTGTAACTAATTAAGCGCCTATGTTTTCTTTTAAGATCAATCATGAAAAGCACTTGGACCATGTTCAAGTTACATTTATTTCTATAGGATTACAGAGAAAGGAAGAAGAAGCTCATGCTGGCGTGATAATTTCTTATCGTTTCTAAGCACAACAACTGAAAATTTTTGTCACTGCTACATTTGAGTTTTACAAGTATCATGGGAAGTTGGGATAATAAAGAAAAATCCGCGAAATTATGTCCCTTTAGAAAAAAAAAATAACAAGAAAACTGCGCACGCAATCACCGGAACTAGAATACGATTTTGAGAATTGAAAAATGACAGAAATGTATTATTTAAAATTAGAAGAAATATAATGTAGATGACCAAGAATAATGGATTTTAATCGACAAGTGGATTCAGGCATCCTCCGTCGTAACCCACAGGATGATTTTGAGCTCATCCAGCGTGTGGGGAGCGGAACTTACGGCGATGTTTATAAGGTGAGATTCAGCGACAGTCAACTGTCAAGTGTTTCCGATTACAGATGTCGAATTTGTTTATGTTGAATTAGTCCTGTCAAAATAGATACCACGGAAACATTTTAGGAAATGAAAATATCAGTGTTATTACAAGGATTATTTTGATTTAAGAATGTACTAATGTTGACACTGTTGATGAATCATAACCAATCTATCCAAAAGAATGTGTTAACCTGTGAATAGGATAGTCATATAATTATGACCCAGATAAACCTTAAATATTTTGTTTTTAAGTTCTTTTTATTTATTTTGTTGGAAGTTTAAGTCAACTTCCTTTTAAAACAATTGATAAGCATTAGATTAGTCTGTGACAAACGCCTCCTTAAAAGTTAAAGTCCTTACTGAAGATTCTGACTGCCGATTCGTTCAAAAGTTACCTCAACCTGACAAATCTGATTAAGACTGACTGTCCTGCCTAAAATGATAGATCAAGAAAACGATTGATCATGCAGCTGAGATTTTTGTCTGAACTCCGGTTTTAGTTTCTACAAAATGTACCAATTCCAGACTTGGTCAAATTGCACTTGCAAAATAACTCGGATCTCCTGTAGTTGGTGATCGTAATACTGATATACCAGTATTGTGCACAATACTGGTATACAAATTTTGTACCAGTATTGAAACTTTTTTTTTAAAACAACAATACTGGTACATTACTGATATACCAGTATTGTAGTTGTATTGTAGACAATATAACTTGTGTATTTTTAAGTAAAATTGGATATCAAAGTTCAAAAGGGTGTTAAATGAACTCAAAACGATTATAGAAGATGATTGAATTATTAAATAAATCAACAACTAGTTAAAATAATCATGATACTCATAAGCCCTAATTAAAAATCAAACAGATACAAATAAACAAAATATTATTGTAATTAACTCATATTATTCAAACAATTGTTAACTGAAGAATTAGATCAGGCAAACATACATGTATGTTTCACAATAAGACCTTTAACCCCAATCACAGAATCTACTTACAACAAAGAAAATATAGCTTATTATTGTACAATGTAGTCAATTAACCAGTTAAGAATAAGATTGCCTGTTACTTTCATCATTGTTTAATCATCATGATTATTTGTACAATTTATTGTTTATCAAAACATTATGAAAGCCATTAAGACAGGGCTGGTCAAAGTATGTTGTGGACATTAATGCAATGGAAAAGGAAACCAGAACACTGAAAAGTTTAATTTTTGTCAAGCCTGCAACATTTTGTTGTGGAAGCGACATATATAGAAACCTTACATTCCATTGTTGCCTGCGGCACATTTAGGTTCAGGCAGTGATTAAAGTTTTTTAAAGATAAAAAATTCTGTCAAATTGCATGGAATTATATGAAACATGAACAGAAGCATTTTTATGATCAAAAGACAGCATTCAGAGTAAAATGTTCATTTTTTTTCTTTCAATTTTTCATATTTTAATGATAAATGGACTTATTTGACACATTCCCCATTTCCATTCTCAATTTTATTATTTTTTTACAAGTTAAGGTAAAAGGTTTTCAGACATCAATAACTAGGACAGAGATTTTTTATGATCAAATTACAGCATGTACAGTATCCACAGCAAAGTTTTGACAATACTTTTTTTTCTCATTTTTGCCTTGCCTTGGCTGAGTCAAAAAGCGAGACATAGGTATGCTGTTTCCGGCGGCAGCGTCAGCATCAACAATGTATTAGTTTGTGATTAGGTCTAGTTTATGGTGAACCACAAGTGGTAGGTCAATGATATTTGGTATGCAGTTGTATTAGCATTGGCATATCTCATTTCCATGGAGATTATTTGGCCCTGCCCCCTCAGTCATGGTCTATTGACTTTGAAAATTTGCTTAGGTTACATGTATTAGTTTGTGATTAGGTCAGTTCAAGGGGAACCATTAGTGGTAGGCCACTGTTAATTGGTATTTAGGTGTATAAGCATTAGCACATCTCATTTCCATGGAGAATATTTGGCCCCGCCCCCTCAGTCATGGTCTATTGACTTTGAAACTTTTGCTAAGTTTACATGTATTAGTTTGTGATTAGATCAGTTTAAGATGAACTGCTAATGTTAAGTCAATGATATTTGGTATGCAAATTTATTGGTATTTGCAAGTTTCGTTTCCATGAAGATTATATAGCCCCGTCCCCTCATCATGGTTCATTGACTTTGAAACTTTTATATAGTTTATAATTATAAGTAAATGTTTGTGTTTAGATTTGTTTAAAGGGAATGACTTATAATAAGTCAATGGTATTTAGTATGCAGTTGTATTAGCATTGGCACATCATGGAGATTGTTTAGCCATGTACCTTCAGTGTTTTTCAGAATCAAAATAAAAAAAAAAATTCTCTTATTTCCAAACATGTATTTTACTGATAAGTGAACTTAGATTTTTTTGGCAGTAAAGATTTATATCTAGTCTGGGATTACATATTTTCGACATCTCAGAAACCACAGACTGGTCAACACAGTCCTCAATAACTTTAAAATTGAGCTGCTCTGTACAGGTCACCAATTCCTGCTCTACTAATGATGCCAGTCATGTAACTACTGTACAGAGATAAAATATTTTTATAAAGCCATCAAACAATAGCAGATTGGTAAATGACTCTTGTTTTAAAATATATACATGCTGTATGCAAATTTATGAAGCATCATTCAGAACATGTAAATTCTTGACTTGCACATTTATTTATAACCAAATATGAAATTTTGAAATGAAAACCAGTGTTTTTGGACATTGGATAGACAAGACACATGTATGAGTCAAGAGAAGAAGCTGACTCGATCTCTTTTTCACACACTTCAGTCACACATGACTGATAGGTCAGTAATATTTGCTACATATTGGCGTAGGAGAAGACTGAAAGGAAGAGGCGAACTGTTGAAAGTGACATTAAAAAAAGCAAACATTTTTCTATATTTTGATAGACTAGAGATTAGTCAGTATCCTCTTTCATTTTCATTTTTTATTTTCAACAAAAAAAATTTGCCAAAAAGTGTGAAAAGGAGAAGGGGGACATGGATTTGCCTTACCACCTTTTGTAAGTGGGGGCAATTTCCTCCCTTGCCCCAAGCTCCTACTCCCCTGCTTCAGAAAATGTATGTTGGTTTGTATGTCACTCAGACATACAATGTTACTTAAAGGCTGTACATGCTGTATGCATTACATGTATCTCCATTTTTATACGACCGCAAAAAAATTTTTGTGGTCGTATATTGGTATGACGTCGTCGTCGTCTGGCGTCGTCCGAAGACACATTGGTTTTCGCACTCTAACTTTAGTTTAAGTGAATGGATCTTTATGAAATTTTACCACAAGGTTCAATACCACAAAAGGAAGGTTGGGATTGATTTTGGGGGTTATAACAGTAACAGTAAAGGAATTAGGGGCCAAAAAGGGGCCAAAAATAAGCATTTTTGTAACTTCCAGACATAACTTGTGTGTTAGTGTGTGGATCTCTCTGACATTGTACCACAAGGTTCCATATCACTAAAGGAATGCTGGGATTGATTTTGGGGGTAATTGCCTCCAAATTTTAGGAATTAGGGGCCAAAAAAGGGGCAAAAAACAAGCAATTTTCTAGTTTCATGACAATAACTTGTGTGTAAGTGTATGGATCTTTCTGAAATTGTACTACAAGGTTCCATATCACAAAGGGAAAGCTGGGTTTGAGTTTGGGGGTAATTGCCCTAAACGTTTAGGAATTTGGGGCCAAAAAGGGGCCAAAAAACACATTTTTTTCTAGTTTCCAGACAATAACTTGTGTTCAAGTGTATGGATCTCTCTGAAATTGTACTGCAAGGTACCATACCACAAAGGGAAGGCTGGGATTGAGTTTGGGGTGATGAATCATAATGGGGGTTCAAAAAATTTTGGGGGGGGATTTATTTTTTTTCCCTTTTTTTCCTTTTTTGTTTCTTTTAAAATTTTCCATTTTAAGTTGGTTATTTCTGATTTATATTTAAAATCAAATAATAATGATATGGTAGGAGATACACACCAAACAGGATGTGTAAATTATTATATAATAAGTATTGTGCAATAGCAAGAAATTTTCAATTGCACAGTATTGCACAATAGCAAGAAATCTTCAATTGCACAGTATTGCGCAATAGCAAGAAATCTTCAATTGCACAGTATTGCGCAATAGCAAGAAATATCCAATAGCACAATATTGCGCAATAGCAAGAAATTGTCAATTGTACAGTATTGCGCAATAGCAAGAAATATTTAATAGCACAGGATTGTGCAAAAGAAGATACTTCCTATAAATTGCTTATTTCTTGACCAATTTCAATGGGGTTTTATTCTTGATTTCATGGGGTTCTTTACTATGCTGAATCTAACCGTGTATTTAGTTTTTGGATTTTGGGCCCCGTTTTTAAATTGGTCCACATTGAGGTCCAAAGGGTCCAAAATTAAACTTTGTTTGATTTCATCAAAAATTGAATTATTGGGGTTCTTTGATATGCCGAATCTAACCGTTTATTTAGATTCTTAATTTTTGGTTCCGTTTTCAAATTGGTCTACATTAAGGTCCAAAGGGTCCAAAATTAAACTTAGTTTGATTTTAACAAAAATTGAATTCTTAGGGTTCTTTGATATGCTGAATCTAAACATGTATTTAGATTTTTGATTATGGGCCCAGTTTTCAAGTTGGTCCAAATCGGGGTCCAAAATTAAACTTTGTTTGATTTCAACAAAAATTGAATATATGGGGTTCTTTGATATGCTGAATCTAACCATGTATTTAGATTTTTGATTTTTGGGCCCCGTTATCAACTTTGTCCACATTGAGGTCAAAAGGGTCCAAAATTAAACTTTGTTTGATTTCATCAAAAATTGAATTATTGGGGTTCTTTGATATGCCGAATCTAACCGTGTATTTAGATTCTTAATTTTTGGTTCCGTTTTCAAATTGGTCTACATTAAGGTCCAAAGGGTCCAAAATTAAACTTAGTTTGATTTTAACAAAAATTGAATTCTTAGGGTTCTTTGATATGCTGAATCTAAACATGTATTTAGATTTTTGATTATGGGCCCAGTTTTCAAGTTGGTCCAAATCGGGGTCCAAAATTAAACTTTGTTTGATTTCAACAAAAATTGAATATATGGGGTTCTTTGATATGCTGAATCTAACCATGTATTTAGATTTTTGATTTTTGGGCCCCGTTATCAACTTTGTCCACATTGAGGTCAAAAGGGTCCAAAATTAAACTTTGTTTGATTTCATCAAAAATTGAATTCTTGGGGTTCTTTGATATGCTGAATCTAACCATGTATTTAGATTTTTGGATATTGGACCATAATAGGTGAATGTCCAATTTAAAATTTTTAAGTTCTTAGACCACATTCAATCTGTGTTAGAAACCTATGCTGTGTCAAATATTTAATCACAATCCAAATCCAAAGCTGTATCAAGCTTGAATGTTGTGTCCATACTTCCCCCAACTGTTCAGGGTTCGACCTCTGCGGTCGTATCAAGCTGCGCCCTGCGGAGCATTTTATTGTTCAATAAGTCAACCTGTACTATATATACACATAAAAAGGATAACAGGAACTATATTAGACATTACAATATTCCAAACCAACAACAAACACCAGACTGCTCCAAGAAAAGAAGGGTTATCAGATGCTACTTGTATCTGAAATGATTTTCATAGAAATACAAAAAATGTATTGTTACCGACGTTATGCTATCAATTCTTAAAATTGACATGTAGATGTTACAGGTCCTGGTGTTATACATGTACATGTATGAAAGTTTTTAGGGAGAACACTGAATTGCTCAAGTAAAATTGCCATGATACTAAGGTCTGTTCCTCATTAACTACAAGTGTACATTGTATATTGCAATCAATTTCACATTTGTATACATTTTTGTGATATTGCTATGACCTTGTTTAACCCTCATTTTTGGATGTCATTCTACATGGATATAGAGTTTTGTACATGTGTTACATAAGGTTATTTCGACTAAAGTTATTTTTCTACAGAACACTTAATGCAATCTCAAAGTTCTGAGATTCCAGTAATCCTGGCAATTTATTATGCTTTTGTTCCCAGTGTATGGAGTATTTATTCCTATCTGAACATCCTTCCGTCTTGTCTGCAACACATTCCTTTGTCTTTTTCTCAATGAATTCAAGTCCTAACTTCTTGATATTTTGCACCAAGCTTCATTTGATTATGTCAATTCAGGAAACATGTTTCAGATCCATGTCCAGCTTCTTGTTCTCAGAAAACTCAGAGAACAGATATCTTTGACATGTAAAGCACACGAGCTTCACATGATTGTGATCTTTATAGTTATTTCAACCATCTACTTCCTGTTTAATGCAAACTTGTATTTTTAAAATGTTGTGCACATACATGTATATGACATTTTCATCTCATTAAGTCAACAACATTGAGCAGGTGTATAATAAGTCTGCAATAAGCTCACAGTGCATCTTGTTTTTTTTATTTATTTTTCAGGCAAGAAATCTAAATACAGATGAATTAGCAGCAATTAAGATGATAAAATTAGAACCAGGTACCAAATGTATTTTAGAGTATAATTACCTTTTTAGCTCACCTGACCTGAAAGGTCAAGTGAGCTTTTCTCATCACTTGTCGTCCGTCGTCCGTAAACTTTTACAAAAATCTTCTCCTCTGAAACTACTGGGCCAAATGCACCTAAACTTAAACACTATCATCATTCAAGTATCTAGTTTAAAAAATGTGTCCGATGACCCCGCCTGCCAACCAACATGGCCGACATGGCTAAAAATAGAACATAGGGGTAAAAATGCAGTTTTTGGCTTATATCTCTGAAACTAAAGCATTAAGAGCAAACCTGACATAGGGTAAAAATGTTCATCAGGTTAAGATCTATCTGCCCTGAAATTTTCAGATGAATCGGACAACCCGTTGTTGGGTTGCTGCCCCTGAATTGGTAATTTTAAGGAAATTTTGCCGTTTTTGGTTAATATCTTGAATATTATTATAGATAGAGATAAACTGTAAACAGCAATAATGTTCAGCAAAGTAAGATCTACAAATAAGTCAACTTGACCAAAATGGTCAGTTGACCCCTTAAGGAGTTATTGCCCTTTATGGTCAATTTTTAACCATTTTTCGTAAATTTTTATCATTTTTTACAAAAATCTCCTCTGAAACTACTAAAACAAATCTAACCAAACTTGTCCACAATCATCATATAGTTTAAAAAATGTGTCCGATGACCCCGCCCGCGAACCAAGATGGTCGACATGGCTAAAAAATAGTACATAGGGTAAAATGCAGTTTTTGGCTCATATCTCTGAAACCGTAGCATTTAGAGCAAATTTGATGATGATAAAATTGTTCATTAGGTCAAGATCTATCTGCCCTGAAATTTTCAGACCAATCAGGCAACACGTTGTTGGGTTGCTGCCCCTGAATTGGTAATTTTAAGAAAATTTTGCAGCTTTTGGTTATTATCTTAAATATTATTATAGATAGAGATAAACTGTAAACAGCAATAATGTACAGCAAAGTTAGATCTACAAATAAGTCAACATGACCAAAATTTTCAATTGACCCCTTAAGGAGTTATTGCCCTTTATAGTCAATCTTTTACAATTTTCATAAATTTTGTAAATTTTTGTAAATTTTTACAAAATATTTTCCACTGTAACTACCGGCCAAGTTCATTATAGATAGAGATAATAGTAAGGAGCAAGAATGTTCAGTAAAGTAAGATCTACAAACACATCACCATCACCATCACCAAAACACAATTTTGTCATGAATCCATCTAGTTCCTTTGTTTAATATGCACACAGACCAAGGTGAGCGACACAGGCTCTTTAGAGCCTCTAGTTTTATAAATACTGGATAAGCTAATAAACTATAACTCACTAAGTACATTAATTATACATATTATTCCAGTAATAGAACAAAGCTTGGTACTGAGTAACTTAGTCTTCTGCTGTCTGTTTGATCTTGATGCAATAAAAACTAACAAATTAAAAGTTCATCTTGTGATGAAGTATTGCATGGTAGCAGTTTATTTCTATTGTTTTACTTCAATTCGATTATGCAATTACTTATTTGCATAAGTTTAATTTACTGCAGTGCAATTAATTATAAAATGACTGGTAATTAATAAGAAATTGTAATATCAAATTTATTTCTTAACTTTTATAGATCTATTAAAGTAATATGTTATATAAATTTTAAGAAAATACTTTTACAATTTACATTGTGAAATTTAGATATAATTAATTTATATTTATGTATGAAATTATACATTTTTAAATTACATAATTAAAGAACAGAATCAGTATTTCCAGTACTCTGATAATGAATATACGTATCAGAATTTTTACTTCTGATCAGAAAAAATGTTTCTATTAATTTCTCAGAATATTATTACTATCTATTATAACAGAATACATAGACTAGGTGTTTCTAAATAATTCCAGATGTAGCTTTGATGTAATTTTTACCTCACCATAGATCTAGCTACATGTAGGATATACATGTTTATGAATGTACAAATGAATGCATACACTTCAATTAGGATGTGTGTTTATAAGTCTTCGTTTATCTGCTGTTCTTCCTAATTGACTGTATTGCAATGAGACCTACAGAAAATCTTACTTACATAATGTCATTATGAACTTACTTATAAATCCAAATAATTTAGGGGGTTTACCATAACAAACAGAAATTTTACTCTTGAAATGTATATCTACAAGAGAGGAATGCGACTCCTCTGAAAAAATACACTCTATTTCATTGAAAGTTCCACAGAATGTTTAAACAAAATGACCATTGTGCATCTGATACCTAATTTTCTTATCTAATATTTCAAAGTTTTTGTCTTGCCTTGACGGAGTCAAAAAGCGAGACATAGGTATGCTGTTGTCGGCGGCGGCGGCATCAACAATGTAGGAGTTTGTGATTAGGTCTTGTTCATGGTGAACCACAAGTGGTAGGTCAATGATATTTGGTATGCAGTTGTATTAGCATTGGCACATCTCATTACCATGGAGATTATTTGGCCCCGACCCCTCAGTCAAGGTCTATTGACTTTGAAACTTTTCATAGTTTACATGTATTAGTTTGTGATTATATAATTAGGTCAATTTATGGGGAACCACTAGTGGTAGGTCAATGATATTTGGTATGCAGTTGTATAAGCTTTGGCATATCTCATTTCCATGGACATTATTTGGCTCAGCCCCCTTAGTCATGGTCTATAGACTTTGAAAATTTTGCTAAGTTAACATGTATTAGTTTGTGATTAGGTCAGTTCAAGGGGAACCATTAGTGGTAGGCCAATGTTAATTGGTGTTCAGTTGTATAAGCATTAGCACATCTCATTTCCATGGTGAATATTTGGCCCCGCCCCCTCAGTCATGGTCTATTTACTTTGAAACTTTTGCTTAGTTTACATGTATTAGTTTGTGATTAGATCAGTTTAAGTTGAACTGCTAATGTTAAGTCAATGATATTTGGTATGCAAATTTATTGGCATTTGCAAGTATCGTTTTCATGGAGATTATATAGCCCCACCCCTGATCATGGTTTATTGTCTTTGAAACTTTTACATAGTTTGCAAGTTAATGTTTGTGTTTAGGTTTGTTTAAAGGGAACGACTTATAATAAGTCAATGGTATTTGGTGTGCAGTTGTATTAGCATTGACACATTTTATTCCATGGAAACTGTTTAGCCCTGTACCTTCAGTCATGGTTCATCGACTTTGAATATTTGCATAACTTACATGTTTAAGTATTGCTATTTTAATTTCAACATTTGCATTATCAAAATTACAAAAAGGCGAGACATATCTCTGTGATAACAGTTTATTTAACATAGAAGATTGTGTATGTTGCCTTATCTTTATACAAATAGGCATGCTCATTTTGTAAAATAGTCTTTTACATTTTTGTTGCCTTTTTCATAATGTGTATTGTGTGTTAACTTACTTATATCATTTGTTTCAGGGGATGATTTTGCCATTATACAGCAAGAAATTGTTATGATGAAAGATTGCAAACATAAAAATATTGTGGCTTACTTTGGGAGCTATTTAAGGTAAGAGTTAAGTACTCTGTAAAAAGGATCGTTATTTTTTGATGAGGTTTTACAGGTATAAAAGGATAGATTATAAGATGGTCACTTATGATAAAATCACAATAGAAAACACTCTGGAATAATGTTACTACACATTGCCTTAAAAAAAAAAGACATATTTTTCAGTGATGCTAATTCTAAAGCAGGTTACACATTTCGGCATTAGCATTCTTGCAGATAAATCATAATTTATCTCCATTTCAATCAATAAACAGTTTTGAACAGCAACATATATAGTTTACCATTAGAGATGTGTTTTCTTTTCATTTTGCAAACATATTTGAAAAAAATATTTATTATTTACATTTCTTCATATTTGCATCTGGTTTTCAGGAGAGAAAAGTTATGGATTGCAATGGAGTTTTGTGGAGGTGGATCTATGCAGGATATTTATCACAGTAAGTTTATATAATTTTGGTTTAAACATGGACATGAAGACATAGTTGCAGAATGTCAAAATTACATTTGTCAGGAAATATACCCAAGATATTTATCAATTTTACTTAAGTAACAGATTGTTGTTGTTCATGGAGAACCAGCATCATCATATACATTACAAGATAATAAAAAATAACATTAGCTAAGATAGTTTTACACATAACTTAAAAATCCGTTAAAACGTTAAACATTTCCTTTGTTAAAAATGTCAAATACAGTTATTCTAAAAGATTCACAGATATCGTTTAGACGTAACAACATTACAGAGACCCCATATCTTCTTTACATTATATTTAACATTTATATCCTCTATTTCACAGTCACTGGTCCACTGAATGAGTCACAGATAGCTTTTTTATGTAGAGAGACGTTACAGGGATTAGGGTATCTACATAGCAAGGGTAAAATGCACAGAGATATAAAGGTGAGATCTATGATCTAATACATTGCAATATAAAGGTGAGATGTATGGTCTGTAATTAATACTTGACAGGACGTCTATTCAGGTATTAGTTAACACTACATAGAGGACATCATTTGAACAATTTAAGGTATCCAGACCACATAATTATTTAAAAAGACCCAGGTGTTTTATTCAAGGCAAACATTATGGCTTTGGCATACTTACGAAATCTTTGGATACACTTTTCACAAAGAAAACTTCTGTTGAGGATTTTTATTGTTTTTCCTGCCCTGGAACATAATGTTTGATAAGGAATGTACACACTCCTTGATGATATTTAATGTGAAAAAAAACTATTAGATTATTGCATTTTTTGCAAGTTCTGCTCTGTTAAATGCTGAAGGTTACTAGGTTGAGAGGCGGAAGGTCCTTTTTCGGGTTGTCGGATTTAGGCCCAGTGTTCTCCTCAGGGACTTTTAGCATCATGGTAATGTGATGCTATATTTCTTGAATGTGGTGCTATCTGAATTGATTTTCTTATAATTTGTGTTATGGATGTAATGACTTCCAAGGTCTTTGTTATTACTGGGAAAATCAAATTAATTTTATGTAGTATAATGATTGGGATTCAAATATGTAGTTATGTTAAATTTATTTTTTTAGGGTGCTAATATACTGTTAACAGATGATGGAGATGTCAAGTTAGGTATGATATTAAGCATGTAAACATCTAAAGCTGTTAATTAAGTTATCTAGTTTTACCAAATTATCTACAAAGATTTGAGATATTTAGCAGATTGTTTATTTAACCACAAACTAAACTTTCACACACTTCTTTACAATGGGAAGTTTTTGTACTGCGTATGTGTGTAATTAATCACAATGATTTTTTGGCTTTTCCAAAGCTTTACAGGAGTTTTTACTGTGGTTCAGAGTGGGGTTATAATCATGGTGCTATTTGAAATGTTGCATATCTCTCATTAAAATGTTTGATCGACTAAATTTCTTTGGTTTCTAATAGCCAAACAAGTATTTCACTTTTGTTCATATGAGCATTATACATCTCTAATTCACAACTCCTTAGAGATTATTAAATTTGCCTCATCTACATGACATGACTTTCTGTTTTGCAAAAGATAAATATTTTAATATTGTAAAATGTTAGTAATGAATATGTATTTTATCAATTAAGTATTAATTTAAGAAAGATAAACAAAAAGAGATAAAGGAATTTTTTGTTCTCCAAATGTATAAACTTTAGTAAAAAATTTCCACGATATCAAATATTATTAGCTCACCTGACCCGAAGGGTCAAGTGAGCTTTTCTCATTACTTGGCGTTCGTCGTCGTCGTCGTTAGCTTTTTACAAAAATCTTCTCCTCTGAAACCACTGGGCCAAATTTAACCAAACTTGGCCACAATTATCATTAGGGTATCTAGTTTAAAAAATGTGTCCGATGACCCCGCCAACCAACCAAGATGGCCGCCATGGCTAAAAATAGAACATAGGGGTAAAATGTAGATTTTGGCTTATATCTCTGAAACCAAAGCATTTAGAGGAAATCTGACAAAGGGTAAAACTGATTATCAGGTCACGATCTATCTGCCCTGAAATTTTCAGACAAATCTGACAACCTGTTGTTGGGTTGCTGCCCCTGAATTGGTAATTTTAAGGAAATTTTGCAGTTTTTGGTTATTATCTTGAATATTATTATAGATAGAGATAAACTGTAAACAGCAATAATGTTCAGCAAAGTTAGATCTACAAATAAGTTCTCATGACCAAAATTGTCAGTCGACCCCTTTAGGAGTTATTGCCCTTAATAATCAATTTTTAACAATTTTTCGTAAATTTTTGTAATCTTTTACAAAAATCTTCTTCTCTGAAACTACTGATACAAATTTAACCATACTTGGCCATAATCATTATTAGGGTATGTAGTTTAAAAAATTTGTCCAATGACCCCGCCAAAAACCAAGATGGCCGCCATGGCTAAAAATAGAACATAGGGGTAAAATGCAGTTTTTGGTTTATATCTCTGAAACTAAAGCATTTAGAGCAAATCTGACAGGTGGCAAAAATGTTCATCAGATTTAGATTTATCTGCCCTGAAATTTTCAGACAAATCCGACGACCCGTTGTTGGGTTGCTGCCCCTGAGTTAGTAATTTTACAAAAATTTTGCAGTTTTTTGTTATTATCTTAGATATCATAATAATAACTCATATCTCATACTATAGCATCAGTAAATACAGGTGAGCGACACAGGCTCTTGAGAGCCTCTAGTTTTTAGGACCTGTCATATTAGTATTTTCATTTTAAGAACAATCATTTTAAACACAAAAAAAACAAAAATAAAACATACAATATTTAATATAAAAAATAAGATGTGGTATGATTGCCAATGAGACAACTCTCCACAAGAGACCAAATGACACAGAAATTAACAACTATAGGTCACCGTATAGTCTAGTTCATATTATATTTCAGCTGATTTTGGTGTGTCAGCACAGATAACAGTGACAATGTGTAAAAGAAAGTCTTTCATTGGTACGCCATATTGGTAAGTTTGATGGATAATTACTCATAATTGAATCTCAGCTAATAGATCAGTAATCATTGTGGAAATATTATCCAACTTGCAAAAAATTAATGAAAAAACAAAGATATTTCACAGGTAGCCTTGAAACATGGTATAACAGTTGTCTATTGTTGAGATGGTATAGGACCTCCATATGTTCTTTTGGACATATTTTGGTGTTGTGGGTTGCTTTCTAATTAATGTACACCCCATATTTGTTCTGTTCAGGTTAATGCATTTTGTGTTGATAGGTTCATTGTTAGGTATTTGTCTCGCCTTGACAGAGTCAAAAAGCGAGACATAGGTATGCTGTTTCCGGCGGCGGCGTCAACAATGTATTAAGTTTGTGATTAGGTCTAGTTTATGGTGAACCACTAGTGGTAGGTCAATATTATTTGGTGTGCAGTTGTATTAGCATTGGCACATCTCATTACCATGGAGATTATTTGGCCCTGCCCCCTCGGTCATGGTCTATTGACTTCTAAACTTTGCTTAGTTTACATGTATTAGTTTGTGATTAGGTCAGTTTATGGGGAATCAGTAGTGGTAGGTTAATGATATTTGGTATGCAGTTGTATAAGCATTGGCATATCTCATTTCCATGGAGATTATTTGGCCCTGCCCCCTCAGTCATGGTCTATTGACTTTGAAACTTTTGCTTAGTTTTCATGTATTAGTTTGTGATTAGGTCAGTTTTAGGGGGACCGTTAGTCGTAGGCCAATGTTAATTGGTATGCAGTTGTATAAGCATTAGCACATCTCATTTCCATGGAGAATATTTGGTCCCACCCCCTCAGTCATGGTCTATTTACTTTGAAACTTTTGCTTAGTTTACATGTATTATTTTTTATTAGATCAGTTTAAGATGAATTGCTAATGTTAAGTCAATGATATTTGGTATGCAAATGTATTGGCATTTGCAAGTATCATTTCCATGGAGATTATATAGCCCCACCCCCTCATCATGGTTCATTGACTTTGAAACTTTTACATAGTTTGCAAGTTAATGTTTGTGTTTAGGTTTGTTTAAAGGGAACGACTTATGAAAAGTCAATGGTATTTGGTATGCAGTTGTATTATCATTGGCACATCTCCTTTCCATGGAGATTGTTTAGCCCTGTACCTTCAGTCATGGTTCATTGACTTTGAATATTTGCATAACTTACATGTTAAAGTATTGCTATTTTAATTTTAAAATTTGCATTATCAAAATAACAAATAGGCGAGACATATCTCTGTGTTAACAGTTTATTAATACTGTTAACAGTTAATAGATCATGTAAAACAAAAATTTGCACAGCAACAAAACCCAAAGGTAAATTTGAAAAACTGTCAAACTAGCAACTTTAAAGAAAATATTTATAAAAGTAAATAACTTATAGGATGGCACCAGAGGTAGCAGCAGTAGAAAGGAAGGGAGGCTACAATCAACAGTGTGATATTTGGGCAGTGGGCATTACAGCAATAGAATTTGCAGAATTACAACCTCCAATGTTTGATCTTCATCCTATGAGGTACAGTAATATTGTATTATGTGATCTTCGTCCTATGAGGTACAGTAATATTGTATTATGTGATCTTCATCCTATGAGGTACAGTAATATTGTATTATGTGATCTTCGTCCTATGAGGTACAGTAATATTGTATTATGTGATCTTCATCCTATGAGGTACAGTAATATTGTATTATGTTTAATAGATAGGGATTTGCCGATTGCCAAAAATTTAACCAATCATCAGATTGACTAGATAAATAAAAATAATACAACAGAGAATAGGGATTTGAAAATTATTCCATTTATTTTAAAATTAAAGAGATATGGTTCTTATACTAGGAATTTTCAACATGGATGAATGTTAAGATTTAATCTTGGGTATTAAGTGGCGATACTTCCTAAATTGTTTCCATAGGGATACATTCTTATAATGATAAAAGCTATTTCCCTCATGGCATTACTAGAAAATGTATATAGGGTTCATTGTAAATATTATTTTAGAATCCCCCTGCTTAATAGAATTTTTTACCATATAATTAATGCTCAAATATGTTCTACAATCAGCCTTTCATATAAAAGATTTTTGTAATGTAATCTACTGATATTGAGTTTATAATTTGGTTTGGCTCACCTTCACCTTGTCAGGTGTTTCAGAAAATAAGGACATATTTTATTACTTTATTTTTCCTTATTTGTGTAAGGACAGGTCATCCCTGAAAAGTAAACTAATATAAGCCTTAGAAAATGTTGAAACTATGCAGATCTGAAAAGCAGATTGTAAAAATTACACCGTATAGAAATTTCTTCGTTTACAATATTAATACTTATTTCTGTATGTTTGTATTTAGATATTTTATTAAGATATTTTGAATGGTTTAGTGATTGTCATAAAACATAATTTACATGAAGGAAATGGAAACATGAGAAATAGAAATCTTTAATTTCTTGTATTAAAGGTATTCCCTGACTTACAAAACTAATATATCTATTATTCATTTCAGAGCATTGTTTCTTATGTCTAAAAGTGGATTTAAACCTCCAACACTCAAAGATAAAACCAAATGGTAAGTGCTGAGTGGGTAATACTATTGTATATAAGTTGTGTTTTCAATGCTCCTCAGTATTGTATACTCATTGATATTTACCATGGCTCCCAAGGCAAACTTTCATACTATCAAATGTACAGTAAAAATATCAAATGAAAAGCCTTTAATTCTATCTTCTTTTGTAAATTTTATGCCTTTGTCTTACCATTCATTTGTTCTTCCTTCCAATATCAGGTTACAGTTTTTGTTTCAGGTAGTTCGTGATAGTATCAACTTCAAACTTAGTACACATGTTCATTGTGAATTGAACTTTTAGAAATACATGCTTAATTAGTATTGTCCTATGAGCACATATTCCTGCTTTTCTCTTTACATGATATATTTTACATTCTACTTTTAGTTGCAGCATGTTATGAAACATATTTTACATGACACAAAAATAGTTGACAATACAATTTTAAAAAGACATCAAACCAACTAAATTTACAATAAAAAGCTTGTTAAAGTTTTCAATATTGAAGCAAAACAAAGGCAATTTTTTTTTATATTTTTCACATATGAGTACAAGGCTCAGAAGTCCTACTTGAAATTACATATAACCATCACATAATTGTTCTTTAAATGTTCACAATCAGCATTTGGGTATCTAGTTTTAAAAACGTGCCTGATTATCCTGCCTACCAACCAACATAGCTAACATGGCTAAAATGGCTAAAAATAGAACATATGGGTAAAATTAAAATGTTGCCTTTTATCTTGAAAACAGCTACAGATAGAAAATCGCACAGGGCAAAAATGTTCTGTATGGTAAGATCTTACTGCTGTGCGTTTACGTAAAAAAAACTCCGACAACTAATAGTTCTTCCTCTTTAATTACAAGTTTTAACATATTTTTTTTAATTTTTGCCTTTCATGTAAACTATAACAGATAGAGATAAATTTTATGTATCAAAAATGATCAGCAAGACAAGATCTACAAATAAATTGGAGCTGCTGAAATTGTCAGATGACTCGTTAAAGGAGTTATTGCCCTTATATGACAAATTTTACCAATATTTTGCATTTATGCCAATTATCTTGAAAGCTATAATAAATGGAAGGAAACTTTAAAAGATAGAAATGATCAATTAGACAAGATATACAAATATGTCAACACAGCTGAAATTGTCAAGTTGTAACAAAGGTTATTGCCCTTAAATGACAATTTTTATAATTTTTTTTTATTGTCTTTAATCTTGAAAACTATAGTGGATAGATAGAAACTATAAATAACAAATATTATCAGCAGGGCAAGATGTACACATAAATAAACATGGCCAAAATTGTCAGTGGACTTTTTATAGGGGTCATTGCCCTAAAATGGAGATTTTTACCAATTTTTGCATTTTTGTCTATAATCCCGAAACTATAAAAAATAAATAGAGACTGTAAAAATCAAAAAAGATGAAGCATGATAAGAGCTGAAATTGTCAGTTGACTCATTATAGGAGTTGCTGCCATTGAAAGATTATTTTTATTTTACCCATTTTTGTGTTTTTGACAAAAACTAGAATTGATAGAGTGAAACAAAACAGAAAAAAGATCCGCAAGTACAAGATCTACCAAAAGGAGATTTTAGTTATGAATTCTATTCTAGTTTACAATGCTGGAGAGAGGCCATTGTTGGAGATGCACTTAGATCCAGATGAGCAACACAGGCTCTTTAGAGCCTCTAGTTTAGTATCTTATACTAATCAAAGCTGTGAGAAGAATACTTTTATAATGAACAGATATGTACTGATGGATGAAAATTAAAAATTTTACTTTATGTTGTAGGTCCCCAGTCTTTCATCATTTTATTAAAGTTGCTTTAACTAAAAACCCTAAGAAAAGACCCACAGCTGATAAACTTTTAGAGGTAAGATGGTTATTTACATGATATGCTTTGAGATAGTAAGATAATTGAGTGATAAAATTTGTGATAAAAGTACAGTCGAAAATGATTGCTCAAGCTCCAAGAGACTAGTAGAAATTAGATCAACTTTAACAAGTACAGTCTAACTTTGATCGCTCAGACTACAAAGGATGCGCAGAAATTATTTGATTTATAGTTTAAAGCCAACACAAATTAGATGTGATTATGAAATTAAGTTTTCATAATTATCTGTGATCAAACTATTTATACTTTTGAATCTTATTACAGCATCCGTTTTTCCAAGCAGACCTAGGTCGGAGAGTGACTAAAGAATTATTAGATAAATCACGGAATCCTTCAAATACTTTTGAAATTGGAGAAGATGATGAAGGGGTCTGTATCAATGATTGTTAGACAAAAAAGTGTGGTACAAAAATATACAAAAATCTATTTCTATTTTCCACCTGTAACTGCAGAGGAGCATGTTCTATCAATTTTATATATACAACACTAAACTATTGTAGGATTATTCCCACTTGTTATAAAAAAGGACTTCATAGGCTTTTCCAACAACTTAAAAGTCTATCGTCATCAAACAAAGATTGGAATGGTTTCAGCTGTTATTTTTCCAATCAAGGATTAAGTTTGAAGTTAGTTAAAAGTAACATTTTATTGTCTTTAATTTGTCCATTGTCCTTGACCTCATTTTCATGGTTGACTGCTTATAAAATAATAAATTTGTTGTCATGTAGATTTCTTACTTATTATGACTATAGATACCTATATTTGGTATATGGGATCCTTGTAAGGTCTACATGTCTGTCAGACAGGGTTTGACTGACCTCAAACTCATTTGAAAGATCAGTGATCAAGGTTATTTTTTAGTGGACAAGTTGGTTTTTCAGGTTCTACAAGAAGCAGGTCAACTATATTTGGTGTATGAAATGATTGGAAGCTGAAAATGTCTGTCTGGCAGGGTTCATTTGATCTTGACCCCATTTTCATGGTTCAAAAGTCAGTGGTTTGATTTCATGGTTGTCCATTTCTCATATACAAATAACAATAGGTTATAACAATATTTGGTGTATGGAATGAATGCAAGGTGTATATGTCTGTCTGGCAGAGTTGATCTAACCTTGGCCTCATTTTCATGGTTCATTGGTCAAAATTTATTTTCTGGGTTAGGTCTGTTTCTCAGATACTATAATTGATAGGCTAGCTATATTTGGTGTATGAATGATTTTAAGGTTTACCTGCTGGTCTGACAGAATTCATCTGACCTTTACTTCATTTTTATGGATCATTAAAAATGTTGATTTTATGTAATCCTTGTTGTATAACCTTTTTCTCTTTGAGTTTCAATATAATTTCAACCATGATAAGTAAAGCAGGCTAGACATTTCAGTATGTGTACTCTTGTGAAAGTTATAAACTTAAAAAAAATGGATATTTTGACAGTATTTATGGTTCATTGATCTGAATCAGGCTTTTTTTAAGATTATTTGGAGAGTTTGCAATAGTCTCTTTGTTGTCAACAAAACATGTAATAACTATGCAAACAAAGCATAATTTGATTTAGAAAATATATGGATGAGGATTTAACTGGATTACCATACAGTACCATGATAAGCATATGAAAGTATTACTAGCATGACATTTCATTCTGAACAGTTACCATATTTTCCATACATAAAGATGAATACTCTTCTTTCACCAATGTATAGCAGACAAAAATCCTGACTTAGAGCTATTTTCATAATGCTTGTAGTTTAAAGGTTTGGTTTGCTTGCTTGCTTTGTTTGTATAACTGTTTGCTCAAGCATTGTAATTAAGATTGACATCTGCAATCATTAGATAGGCGGGGCTTCAACTTGTATACATTTTACTTGAATGTTATTGGATGTTAAGTATAATGCAGAGTATAATGTATACAAACTGAAGCCCCACCTATCTATTGATTTCAGATGTCAATCTTAATTACAATGCTTGAGCTAGGAAATATCTCTAATGCCACTAGTAAAATACTTTTATCTATCTCTTACAAAAAACTTACTATCTTTTCTCTGTTCAGATGAAAAGAAATACATGAATTGTTATTTGTAATTACAGGTATTGAATGTTCCACAGCGAATACCTTCAAATAAAACACCTGGTAATGTTGCTGCTAGGAACAGTCTTGAATTGAAAGGTAACTTTAAGTTGAATAGGAATAAAGACATAATTTTCTCATAAAATTAATCTTAGGATACATTAAGAGACCCCCCCTTATACAGGCATCCACCCTAGGCCATGCAGCACCCGATGACATATGTAGATATCATAAGATGCAATGTAAAGGAGCATATATCAATGCCAGGACACAGCATTACTTCTTCTTTGCCTCCCTGCCAACACTTGATTTATCTAATACATCAAGGTTGGATACACCACACCGGTAACCGGCATGGATACAGTGGCCAAGCAGAACATAAAGTAATGGTGAAATAATATATAAATGTAAACAAAGACATGTTTGGGAAAAACTAACCACAGTTTATCAAACTGTGTTTCTCCACAGTAATATAAAATCTAAAGTCACTGCGGACAAAATTCTAAAACTACAATAATGCGCATAGAGTCAAAACGCACAAAACTAGAAAATAAGGGAGTGGTGGGTGGGAAAAGAAATACGATTATGCTTGATTGATTTGACATACAATTTGCTTGCTGCTTGCAAAATTTTTGAATGTTGCGAGATGCTGGGATGCATACTGTGCAAGATAAATTTGATTGAATTTATTGGATTGGGTTAAACCGGGAAATTTGAAAAATCAAAGCTGATTGGTAGATAAATATATCCCAGACAAAGCAAGATTCAAATAAGACAATCCGATTGGCTGTGGTCCGTAACCAGCCAAAACAAACGTGAAAAGGAGGTGCAGGGTTTTATAAAAAATAGCAATCAAATAATACGAAACTAAAGAATGTACAAATGCTTCTACAATACATGTATCTATATTAATACTGTATTTTCAAAAAAATACATCCATAAACAAAAAGTCATTTCAACACACCAAATTACTTTTACATTAACCATTACTTAAACATTTTACAAAAATCTGTTAGACTGTTTTAATAAGTTGTATCTGAAAGTACTAAATAGTATGACCATTAACAATATAACAAATTGAAAATGGAAAGACAAACAGTTTTGTACTTAGAAGAACAACAGATAAAATTAGATTAAGCAGCATTAAATTGATCATTTATCAGGAATTCAGCTAATGTGGAATTTAAAAAAATATGCAGCTGGAAAATATGGATAGAAAAAAAATAAAACAAGACATCTATAATCTTAGGAAAAAAACTCACTCTCTCTCCCCCACAAAACCACCTAGAAGAAAAACCATATTGTTTTCATATCATTTAAATATATTGTATTTTATTTTATTTTATTGCAGTTAATATATCACCATCATCATCAGGTTTGGTAAGTATTACCATTGACTTTTAAGTTTATTTATAAAATCATTACACTTGTTAAGTCTCCCAAACGAAGTTTGGGAAGACTTATTGTTTTTGCTCAGTTCTTATTATTATTATTATTATTCTTCCTCTTCCTCTTCCGCCGCTTTTAAATTTGAACTTGTCTGCACCCGTTCTCCAAAACCGCTTGTCAGATTAACTTATGGTTTTACAATATGTTAGACTAACATGTGTAGTGGTGCAATCAGGGTTTTGTTTGTGCAATGGGGTTTATAAAGGGGTACTTTGAGGGGCAAAAAGAAAAGAGGGTTTTACTATAGAACCCTATGGGATTTTATTTTTTAAAATTTTCAAATGATTATAAATTTAAAACCGTTTGTGATAGACACAATCTTTTTAATTGAAAATGTTCTAAATGATAAAACCCATTAAATGAAATACAGGGTTAGTCCCCAGGGGTCATCCCCACCCCCTGCCATTTAAGAAAGTTATAATATCTTGTAAATGGTCGAGATCCCCACCCCTTAACCATATATATTCTGGTTTGTCATGCTAAGATGGTTTGAATGATATACAGGGTTAGTCCCCAGGGGTCATCCCGACCCTCTGCCATTTGAGAAAGTTCTAATATCTTGTAAATGGTCGAGATCCCCACCCCTAAACCATATATATTCTGGTTAGTCATGATAAAGCACATGAAATGAAATACAGGGTTAGTCCCCAGGGGTCACCCCCACCCCATGCCATTTAAGAAAGTTCTAATATCTTGTAAGTGGTCAAGATCCCCACCCCTAAACCATATATATTCTGGTTTGTCATGCTAAGATGGTTTGAATGATATACAGGGTTAGTCCCCAGGGGTCATCCCGACCCTCTGCCATTTGAGAAAGTTCTAATATCTTGTAAATGGTCGAGATCCCCACCCCTAAACCATATATATTCTGGTTTGTCATGATAAAGCACATGAAATGAAATACAGGGTTAGTCCCCAGGGGTCACCCCCACCCCATGCCATTTAAGAAAGTTCTAATATCTTGTAAGTTGTCAAGATCCCCACCCCTAAACCATATATTTTCTGGTTTGTCATGCTAAGATGGTTTGAATGATATACAGGGTTAGTCCCCAGAGGTCATCCCGACCCCCTGCCATTTGAGAAAGTTCTAATATCTTGTAAATGGTCGAGATCCCCACCCCTAAACCATAAATATTCTGGTTTGTCATGCCAAGATGATTTGAATGATATACAGGGATAGTCCCCAGGCATCACTAATGCATATAACTTTACTGGACCAAACCAATTTTCACTGGACTTTGCCCAATGTCAGGCGACCCTGGGAATTACGAATTATGGGATCTTCGTTTGGGAGACTTCGTAACAGCATCCTGTTACAATCATTTCTTGTTTGATATGTAGTGGTTTAAAAAACAAAAGAAATCTTGTCATAAAAGTCTCATTGACTATTTTTATGTCCTGTCCATGATACTAAAGGGGCATTTTGTTTCTGGACTGTCTGCCATCTTTCAGGTTAAAAGTTTTGGTTAAATGTAGTTGCCTATGAAGTTGTGTACACATCAACTGTAAACTTTGTAGACATGTTCTTTATGATGTGAACTTAATAAAAAAAACAAGTGTTTTGACCGACAGTACACTGAACAAGTAACATATGTAATATGACAGTGTTAGTGGGAATTGGACTTATTTTTGTATAAGAATAAATAGATTTTAATTTTTAAAAGTTGTTAACTAGAATTAACTACAGCACTTTGAAAAATATTTAGATAGGTGACCTACACTCAGAACAACATGAAAAACATTCAGGTTTTCAATATTTTACATTTGTTAGTATTAGATGAAGTTGGTTTCAAAAATAAGACAAGATGTAAACAGATCTTTGCTCTATATTGAAGAATTCCTACTGAAATTCAGTGGTTCTCTCCGGGCACTTCGGCTTCCTCCACCTTAAAAAATTGACACACTGAAATAGCACAATAGTGTTGAAAGTGGCGTATAGCACCAACCAATAAATAAATAAATATATTGAAGACCTCATTGTTACTGAGATGAAGAACAGCAATAAAAGCTCTTCCTTTGCCTTTGTTTTTTATGCCCCCGCCGAAGCAGAGGGGGCATTAAGTTTTACCCTTGTCCGTCTAATGTACGTACATCCGTACATCCCAAAATTGGTTTCCGTTCTCTAACTTGAGTTTGCCTCAACCTAATGTTATGAAACTTCTACACAATGCTTATTACTACAAAATACAGATCAAGTTTGAATTTTGGTGGCGTCACTTTGACCGTTCTAGAGTTATGCCCCTTTATAAATGGAAAAGTTCCTAAATTTTTAGTTTCTGTTCTCTAACTAAAGTTTGCCTCAACCAAATGTTATGTGACTTATTCACAATGCTTATTACCACATAATACAGATCAAGTTTGAATTTTGGTAGCGTCACTCTAACCGTTGTAGAGATATGCCCCTTTATAAATGAAAAAATTACAAAATATTTAGTTTCCGTTCTCAAACTTAAGTTTGCCTTTACCAGATGTTATGAAACTTATACACAATGCTTATTACGACAAAACACAGATCAAGGTTGAATTTTGGTGGGGTCACTTTAACCATTCTCGAGTTATGCCCCTTTATAAATCGAAAAAAATTTTAGTTTCCGTTCTGTAAGCGGGGGCATCATATGTGTCCATGGGGATACATTTTCCATTTATTTTTCATGTGAGCATTATGATTTTGTTTTTGTCTGGCCTGCAGTATGAGAGACATAGGTATTACTATCCGGTGCCAGCAGGCAAGGGCATAAACTATTTGTATAAAGATTTATATTTCAGAAGGTTGAAGACCTGGATGCTTCATACGTTGTATACAGATGCCTTATGTTATGAAGTTTCTGTCTGTCATATGCCCATTGTCCTTGACCTCATTTTCATGGTTCAGCGACTGCTTGAATAAAAATTACAGTTTTATTGTCATGTGAATTTCTCACTTATCATGAGTAAAGGGATAACTATATTTGGTATATGGGATCCTTGCAATGTCTACATGTCTGTCAGACATGGTTAACCTGACCTTGACCTTAATTCATGTATCAGTGATCAAGGTTAAAGTTATGTGATTAGGTCCGTTTCTCAGATACTACAAGCAGAAGGTCAACTATATGTGGTGTATGAAATGATTGTAAGGGGTACATGTCAGACTGGCAGGTTTCATCTGACCTTGACCTCATTTTCATGGTTCATAAGTCATTGTTATTTCTTTGTGTTTTGTTCTGTTTTTCAAGTACTGTAGGCAATAGGTCAACTATATTTGGTGTATGGAATGATCTTAAGGTGTATTTGTCTGTCTAGTTGGTGTCATCTGACCTTGACCTCATTTTCATGGTTCATTGGTCAATGTTAAGTTTTTGTGTTTTGGTCTAATTTCCAAGTACTAGAAGCAATAGGTCATTTTTTTTTGGTTTATGGAATGATTGTAAGGTGTACATGTCAGTCTAGCCAGTTTCATCTGACCTTGACCATATTTTCATGGTTAATTGGTCAATGTTAAGTTTTTGTGTTTTGGTCTGTTTTTCAAATACTAACAGCAATAGGTCAGCTATATTTGGTGTATGGAATAATTGTAAGGTGCTCATGTCTGTCTGGCAGGTACAATCTGACCTTGACTTCCTTTTCATGGTTCATGGGTCAATGTTAAATTTTGGTCTGTTTTTCAATTACCATAAGCAATAGGTCAACTATATTTGGTGTATAAAAAAATGTAAGTTGTATTTGTCTATCTGACAGGATTTATATGACCTTGACCTCATTGTCATAGATCTTTAAAAATTTTAAGTTTATGTGATGCTTTTAATAAAATCTTTATCTGTAAGAATTTCAACATAAAATCCTAGAATCTCCTGGGTAGCCGATTAATGTCTTTACCTTGCATTTGTACTTATATTTTATAGATCTATGTTAATTTATTTGTGTATGTTTCCATACCATTGTACTTAGGTTTACAAAAATAAAGATGTGGTATTTGTGATTAATCATTGAAATTATCATAGACAATTAACATTTCTATTTTCAGGGTCCTGATCAGTATGATAAAGCAAGACAGAACTGGGATAATGAAGAAGGGGTAAGTCTGATATCTATAAATAGGGGGATAATTGAAGTTTTGGTCAATATAGGCAAGAAGTAGAACTGGAATATTGTGGGGTGGGGGTAAAACATCCTGGCTACTGAGATAATGGAAGAATTAATAGAATGTTTCTTGTTTTAAACATAGTTTCAAGTTTTAACTTTAACTTTTTACAACATGGCGAAGAAAAAAAAACCCTGTTTTTTTATGAAATGCCTACAAAAAATAAGAAAAATACCTGCATTAATTCAGTCTTTCAACTAGAGAGTTGTATTGGATAAACTTATTGAAGATAAATCCCAACCTGTTCATGTTTAGGTACTTTAATTATTGAAACTCCTAAAATCCACAAAAGAACGAAGCTGAGAAATAGACCCAGTACTGGCTGACTGTTTTATTGACTTTGCAATGTAATTTTACAGTACCTATAGATATAAACAAAAGTTGTTATTCTTATTTACTGTTCATTTATTAGAATGTAGGTTATGAAATAGAGATGTGGGATAAATTTCCATGAGAATTGACGCTGCAAATTGAAATGTATTTTGTTTGCAAAAAGGACATTAAGTTGAAGGAAAAAAAAAGAAAGTGGTCAAACAGGTGGGGAAAAAGAAATTTGACGAAGTGAAACCCTGTTGAAGACAAAACGTTCAGTTTGATATTAAAGATTTTCACTTTTGCTTTTCATAAGTGATGGCCCTTGATTGCTTTAACAATGGCAATTATACATGTAAGAAAAACCTGCTATGCTTTCATTTTGACAGCCTCTTCTTGTAGTAGATTATTATTATTTGACTTTACATGCTCAATTATGTTGGACATATAATTTATTTCAATACATGTATTTCAGGAAGATAGATACAATACTGCCCAGCCAGACTGGCCAGACCAGAAGTAAGTTGTCATCAATGTTATAATTCTGAAACTATATTTTCGTCCCAAAACTATTTTATATCTGGTTTCTATAAAGAGACTTTATGAAAACTAAATTGACTAAACTGTAATATTTCTTCTGTAAATTTATTGTTTTTGACTTTGTAAATCACTCTTGATGTATAAATGAAACAGATCTTCGAGTTAGCATGATGAACCTTGCCTTTATAATTTTAATGGCTTATTAATAAGAGGAAATAAGAGTGGTTAATATGCTTTCTTTCTATCAGGGGACTATTGGAATCTGTTGGTGAGGAACTGTGGAACAGGTATAAATACTGTTCATATAAAAAGTCTGTTTGTATACTGCCTCTTTGCTTTAATATTGAATATTTAAAGGCAGATATAGGTTTTTCTAAAATGTTCTGTTTCAATTTTTCATATGACCACTACATTTTTTGTGATGATATAATGGTATGGTCCATTTGTTTGCTTTGTTGCCATCGTTATCTGTGAACACACAAAACATTTAAATAACTATTTTTAAACAACTTTTTCTTTGAAAAAAGTGAATGATCATCCTTTAATTTAAATCAGATATAATTGACTATAACAGAGGGATATGATTCCAAACAACCCTGTTTATAGTTTTTTTGTTCTGAATGATCTATTTTTCACAGAATTACAAAATTCTTCAGTCATTCAGCAGAATAGGGAGATATTCTTGCTGTCCTAACACATCTTGTTTTTCTTTGTATTGTTTATTCAAAATTTATTATACATATTTTGGGAAATAAATTACTTCCTATGACAAAGGCTTTTGGAAAATTTATCCACCAGATCATTAACTTATTTAATCATTAGGTTAATTAAAGAAGATGGCATCTTATACAAGATGTTAAAATATTATAACCTAAATCTGCCTTTTGTATATAATAATTAACATTTTATTTCATTAATTTTAAAAGTATCCTGTCCAGTTTCCAAATTTACATATGACATGCAGTTCATTACATATTTAGATTTCAGCCCACACATTTAACTGTACAGATCAGGCCTTTTCTTTCATTCATTATATTGTTTAGTAGCTTGACATTTCATTCCATTATATTGTTTAGCATGGAATGTATTGTTAAGCATGTGTACAATCTCTGAAACAGAGGTTCCCCTACCATTGTTTTACAAGGAAATCTTTGACACAGAGACTAGTTCTCCGCAAAATTTCTACAATAGTTTTGGTATAAGATCTTAAGACCGAGGGAAATGGGTCACACCAATAACTTCAATTTGGTTAATCATTCATAGCTTTATAGCTCCTCATGTTTTTAAGTGTATTTACATCTTCGGCTTTCATATTTTTGGGTTTAAGTGTTTCTGATGAAGAAAATAGATGTTATTTTCATTTTAAAAGTGCAAAATCTATATTTGCTGAAATCAAACTATTTTTTGCCAAAAAATGCAAAAGTTTTATATGATTGTTGCAAAGAAACACCAGGATTTAACCATTTTGATTAGTTTAACCATGTATTGGAATGGTATGAATATGTCTGAATTACAACTGTTTAGTATCTGTGTCTAGGATTGGCCACCACATAAAGCAATTAAAGATATGCCAATCAAATATTCATTGAACAAAACAATTTTAATATGAAACACTACTGTTCATATTGTGTGTATTTATGTAGTCTATTTTAAACAAACTGAATGTGATATAGCAGCAATAGTTTGAATAACACATACATGGTGGAGGGTCACACAGCTTCTTTTTCAGAGATGAGCTTTATGGCCTATATGCAGAATCACATTTTTACTCAATATTCAGTTAGTAAAGATTTAAGGTTGCTTTTCTGTTAAGATAATACAGTTATTGAGTGATATATTATTTTTATGATAGATTATTCAAATTTAAAATTGCCCCCAATATTGATGTTCTTGTTTTGAGAAATTAAACATATGAACACCTAATCTTTACTGACTGTAGCTGGCTATCATTTGTTAGTTTATAAGAGCTTTAACAAAGAGGGATATTTAGGTGTCTAATAGATTTTTTTTTTAGTTTTCTGTTAGGTTCATCTAGATATGTTGTATGCATTGTTTTTTTTTACATTTGAATAAGTTGGTCATAATGAAAAGGAAAAAACATAGTGATATAATTCAGTCTTTTTTGGAATTGATCGAACAAAAATTGTAAAATCATATTTAAAAATTTCGATTTGTTAGTTTTTGTCTAGCCTTGACAGAGTCAAAAAGCGAGACATAGGTATAGGCGGCACCAACAATGTATTTGTTTGTGATTAGGTCTAGTTTTTAGTGAACTACAAGTGGTAGGTCAATGATATTTGGTATGTAGTTGTAGTAGCATTGGCACATCTCATTTCCATGGAGATTATTTGGCCCTGCCCCCTCAGTCATGGTCTATTGACTATGAAACTTTTGCTTAGTTTACATGTATTAGTTTGTGATTAGGTCAGTTTATGGGGATCCACAAGTGGTAGGTCAATGATATTTGGTATTCAGTTGTAAAAGCATGGCATATCTGATTTTCATGGAGATATTTGGCTCCGCCTCCTCAGTCATGGTCTATTGACTTTGAAACTTTTGCTTAGTTTTCATGTATTAGTTTGTGATTAGGTCATCTTAAGGGGAACCATTAGTGGTAGGCCAATGTTAATTGGTATTCAGTTGTATAAGCATTAGCACATCTCATTTCCATGGAGAATATTTGGCACCGCCCCCTATGTCATGGTCTATTGACTTTTAAACTTTTGCTTAGTTAACATGTTTTAGTTTGTGATTAGATCAGTTTTAAGATGAACTGCTAATGTTTAGTCAATGATATTTGGTATGCAAATTTATTGGCATTTGCAAGTATCGTTTCCATGGAGATTATATAGCCCCACCCCCTCTTCATGGTTCATTGACTTTGAAACTTTTACATAGTTTACAAGTTAATTTTTGTGTTTTGGTTTGTTTAAAGGGGACGACTTATAATAAGTCAATGGTATTTGGTATGCAGTTGTATTAGCATTAGCACATCTCATTTCCATGGAAATTGTTTAGCTATGTACTTTCAGTCATGGTTCATCGACTTTGAATATTTGCATAACTTACATGTTAAAGTATTGCTATTTTAATTTCAACATTTGCATTATCACAGTTACAAAAAGGCGAGACATATCTCTGTGATAACAGTTTATTATATATTTATTGTAATATAGCTTTTACTATGTTTAAAAAAATAATTACAATGATCATATAATTAAATTCAATTCAACAGTATATATTTTTAAAAATCAGATATTTTCTTTGAACACAATTAGATGGTTATTTCCTGAATAACTTATTATACAAAACATTTGAATTATTATGTTTATAACAAAATGATGAAAATTTAACCAGATCATATTGAAGGAATTGATGATGTTGTACCAAGTCCTAATTTGTAATTGCTATTTTTAAAGCTAATTAATTATATTCAAGATTATTTGACAGCATTCAGAAGATATAAAAAATGGGGCATCCATGCTTAATTTTCTCAAACTATCCCAAAACATAAGATTTTAGTTTAAAAAAAAATGCACACATTTGAATTAAACCATAGTTTTCAAGGTTTATATACGACCGCAAAAAAATTTTGCGGTGGTATATTGGTATGACGTTGGCTTCGTCGTCGTCATCGTCCAGGACACATTGGTTTTCGCACTATAACTTTAGTTTAAGTGAATGGATCTCTATGAAATTTTACCATAAGGTTCAATACCACAAAAGAAAGGTTGGGATTGATTTTGGGAGTTATGGTACCAACAGTTAAGGAATTGGGGGCCAAAAAGGGGCCAAAAATAAGCATTTTTGTAACTTCAAGACATAACTTGTGTGTTAGTGTATGGATCTCTCTGACATTGTATCACAAGGTTCCATATGACAAAGGGAATGCTGGGATTGATTTTGGGGGTAATTGCCTCAAAATTTTAGGAATTAGGGGCAAAAAACAAGCATTTTTCTAGTTTCATGATAATAACTTGTGTGTAAGTGTATGGATCTTTATGAAATTGTACTACAAGGTTCCATATCACAAAGGGAGGGCTGGGATTGAGTTTGGGGGTAATTGCCCAAAACGTTAAGGAATAAGGGGCCAAAAAGGGGCCAAAAATAAGCATTATCTAGTTTCCAGACAATAACTTGTGTTCAAGTGTATGGATCTCTCTGAAATTGTACTGCAAGGTACCATACCACAAAGGGAAGGCTGGGATTGATTTTGGGGGTAATTGCCTCAAAATAGTAGGAATTAGGAGCCAAAAAGGGGCAAAAACAAGCATTTTTCTAGTTTCATGATAATAACTTGTGTGTAAGTGTATGGATCTTTATGAAATTGTACCACAAGGTTCCATATCACTAAGGGAAAGCTGGGTTTGAGTTTGGGGGTAATTGCTCTAAACGTTAAGGAATTTGTTGCCAAAAAAGGGGCCTAAAAACAAGCATTTTTGTAGAATCCAGACAATAACTTGTGTTCAAGTGTATGGATCTCTCTGAAATTGTACTGCAAGGTACCATAACACAAAGGGAAGGCTGGGATTGAGTTTGGGGGTGATGAATCATAAGGGGGTTCAAAAAATTTGGGGGAGGGATTTTTTTTTTCTTTAAAATTTTCTATTTTAAATTGTTTTTTTTCTGAGTCATATATAAAAGCAAATAATAATGATATGGTTTGAATAGGTAAATTAAAAAATTTTAAGTTCTTAGACCACATTCATTCTGTGTCAAAAACCTATGCTGTGTCAAATATTTCATCACAATCCAAATTCAGTGCTGTATCAAGCTTGAATGTTGTGTCCATACTTGCCCCAACTGTTCAGGGTTCAACATCTGCGATCGTATCAAGCTGTGCCCAGCGGAGCATTTTATTTTTATGGTGACAATAAAACAATAAACAATGAGATAAAAGACATTAATCATGATAAAGCTGCGAATGACCTTGACAAAACATGCTTTAAATAGGGTCAAAGAGGCCACTTCATTTTCTTTAGTTGTTAGAATTTATTTTGGTAATCTAATAAAACATTGGTTTGGCATTCCAAAATAACTTTTTTATGTTTTTGAGAGACTACTGACAAATTAAATTTACATGTTTAATTTGTCTACAAATTAATTAATCTACATGTATATAATAAGGCAGTGGTGGATCCAGGGCGGGGTTTCGGGGGTTGGAAACCATCCCTTTTTTTTTGACAATCAATGCTTTTGAATGGGGACATATGGTTGGAACCCCCCTTTTAAAAATGGCTGGATCCGCCCCTGAAGGATAGTTACAAGTTGTGTGTAAATAAAAATATGTTATGATGTTTAGTCATTATATGCAATACTTTTATTTCTGTGTTAAGTTGTTTGATTTCTAAGTTGATTGTTAAGCCTCTTATGTTTTAGCTACTACTGCTTCATGTTGCTTATTTATTGAGTGTTTTTTTTTTTTTTTTTAATTTTCTGCAGGGGTCACGATGGTAACTTCATCTTTAATAATGATGAAAATGTACCAGTATCACAACAGTAAGCTACACAATATGTCTTCTACCTATGGCATGCTCAGGATTTACAGACACATTAGTAGCATGATCTAGAACCTTGTTTTTCAGTGGACTAATCACACTTTTTAGTAGAACATTTCCATGAACAAACCTTGTTTCAAGACTTTGATTTATGACAAGCACATTAAAATAAATTGAAATTATAATTAAATTACAGTGGTTAAATTTTATATTGATTTCATATAAACTTTTTATGATAAACAAATTTCTATCTGTATAAATGAAAGGAAATACTTCAAAATTAAGTAAATTAAGATATGTTGTAAAAATAATTTAAATTGGTGACAAATGAGGGATAATAAGAAAAGTAAACATCTTGTATGCATGTTTCTATTATTGTGTCTTTACATTTGATAATTCTTCAGGGTGTTTGATATGGTACTTAGGTTGTGAAACTTTTAAAATATGCATGGTTTCAATGGCAAGAAAAGTATTACAAAAAAGTCATTTAAGACCTCACAAAAAGAGATAAAATATGATGCTGACACAACTTTTCAAACAATAAATGTTGATGTTGAAAATATGTAGGATATATTCCGTTAGAATAACTGTGTTTACTCCAAGCCTCTAACATAACAAAATATGAAACAAATATCTGAGCATGTGGTTAGGTAGCGTGACAATTTGTGATGTTTTTTTGTTTTCTTGTTCTGTACCAGCACCTGTAGTTACTATGTACTGTAAATACTCAAATCACAATCTTTTATCACTTTTATCCTGACTTTGTCAATAAAACCTCACTTTCATCCTATTAACAACAGGATCAAAATTAATAAATTAAAATAGTATTTTATTTTATTGAAGACAGCTTGTGATTCCCAAATGTCTGGGTCAAGTTTATGGCCTTAAAAGTATTAAAAGAAGACAAGATAGGGCCTGAACTAATGATTATAGAACAGCATGATGTAGGTCAATTGTATTTGATATTAGGATGCATATAAATGACAATACTTCCATGCAGGTTGTAACACCTCAGTCATTAGCAAAAACCGGCAAAAAATTGTCCTGTGTTGGAATCAAATCTTATTTGAAGTAATGTCAGTAAGGCAGCAACCAAACAATGAAACAAAACAAAATATAATGATTAGAATTTCAGGAACCAAGTGTTTTTGGAACAACCACAGAATACCACTATGAGATAGATTTACAGTACATTTAAAAGGGACCATACATGGTTAAATGTGTATATATCATTAATGAATCTTCACAGGAAATTTTCAAAGGAAATCTTGAACCTTGCAAATAGTTATCAAAACCTATATATGTGAAACAATTCCAATGATTTAAGTTAATTCTTATTTCATTGTGTCATGGCAATAAAAAAAGTAAATACATGCGTAAACCGTTCCATGTATAAAGACGTCAGGTGTATGACTTCCACCATAGTTTGGTAAATGTTGATAAAAATTTTGCTAAAGACAAATTTTAAGTGCATTTTTATTTAAAGGTTATTAGTACAGAATTATTTGATGTGATAACTCGTCCTTTTACATGTTTTACTTACAAACTTAACACACAAGTCATTTGGACCTATTCAGTGTGTGAGTCAGTAGGCTGAGTTTATACATCAATAGATTTATCAAAATAATCTGTTTAACTGTAATGAATGTACATATACATATATGGTCTCATTTAGTTGGCTTTGTTCCGTAGATAATAGTTATCTTACTTTTTATTTTTGTAGATTAATAGATGAATCAAAGAAAGACATTGGTGTGTTTTCTTATTGATACATATTTTGTAAAACAGTGTGGTTTTATCTGCACTGTATTTAAAATCTGTAGACATGTTATTCATCATTGAAATTAAATCCTGTTAATGGGTTTAAAAAGTTTATTTTGGATTTGCAAATTTTTGTTTTAAGTAAATCGTTCATGATGAAACATTTGAAACATCTATAGAAGGAGAAACACAGCAATGTTTTCCTTTGGCCTAACCCATTACAATATTATGTACCTCTTGTTAACATTCTTGTTTCCATATATTTTGCATGTCTGTGGAAAATTTTACTTTAGGGAGTATTTTATCTTGATAATATAGAGACTGTAATATGAGTTATATACTTGGATAAAACTAAATGTGACTCTTTGTTCAGGGATTATTATATCTTTGTAAAACAGAGACTGTATTATGGTTTATATACTAGAGTGAAGTTTACCATTATTACTCTCTGTTCAGAGGATATTATATCTTTGTACCAATTCATTTCACTGAATGTAACTTATGTTTCACTCACTTTTGAGAAATTTGATGGAAGTCAGTTATATATTCCAGTATGTGGGTTAACTAAATATTTCAGGGCCTTTTTTATCATTTTTATGGTACACCTCTTCTCAGAACAGAGGATATCTAAGCAAAACATTGCAAGGATATTTAACATGAATTTTACTACTGGCACAATCCTAAAAAGAATCCTTTTTTTTTTTTGCCTGGTCACCTAATTCTTATGTTAAGTTTTGGTATTCTAAACCTCAAAACCAGTATTATATAAAAGTAATTAACATTTTGTAATTTTATAGTTAAATAGTCCTATATATCCTTTCCTGAAATTTAATTCTATTTTGCAGATTTTGATGATTTCAGTATATAGTTTCTGTCCTGAACTACAACAGGATATGATGTGAAAGTAATAAAGGGACTTTCCCTTTAGGCAGGTTCTAATGAAAATTTAGAGTCTGGTATATAATTAAAACATCTTGTAAAAGTTGGGTTGTATAAAGTATAGATCAATATCTAATGTAAATATACACCTTATAATATCGCAGCATAAGAATATATTTTTTTTTTAATTTTCTTAACAATGTTTGCAGTAGGAAATGTAATATGGAGGTACATTACTATTCATGGGCATATACATAAATATAGTTATACCTACTGTTTTCAGTACATTGTAAGAGAGTTTTCAACCTTGTATTATAAGGAAATCTTGTTTTTTTCTTTTTCAGATCTACCTTGCAAGTAAAACCTCCACCACTGCCACCTAAGGTATTCAACAGTTTCAATTTATCATGCCTTTTATGGCTATTTCTTTTGTAATTATTCAATGCAAAGACTTTGAAATGTAAAATATAGCAGTTTTGAATTTAATTATGTCATATATGCTGTAAATTATCATTTAAAAAAACAAACTATTACTGTGGATTCATTTATTTTCGTGGGTACCAATTTTCGTGGATTAAGGAAAACTTACATATTATTATATATTTATTTTCGTGGTTTTGCCAAAGTCTGCATACAAGCTTATAGAAAACTTGCTATTCGTTGAACATTTAATTTCGTTGTTCACCTGTACCCACGAAATCCACGAAAATTGGTATCCAACGAATAATAATGAATCCACAGTAGATATTTTCTATGTTGCCATATGACGGATGCTATTAGGAATATTTTATTTTTATGGCCCCGCCACAAAGTGGTGGGGCCATATAGTTTTACCAATATCTGTCATTCCGTCATTCCGTCATTCTGTCATTCCGTCATTCCGTAACGAACAGTTAAACAGATTTTTTGATGAGTTGCCAAAATTACAGTCTTTGGACTTTGAAAACTTTGTGAAAATAACAGTTATATCTACTTTCATTCTCAAATTTCCACTCCTAAAAATGGCTTCAAAGCTTTTTTAGCTAGCGGTGCCATTCGTGTTGTTCCGACACATCTTATTAATTGTTAAATCGTATAATAACTCAACGGTCAGTCATTCACCGTAAACAAAAAATAGTGGACTAAACTTTAAATCCATCCATATTGGTATGTGTACCATGTGTCATATCTTGTATTTCCAAGTTTATTGTGCATGGCAAATATCTTTTTCAGGAAATTTCGGTGCTAAAAGTTTAATATTTTACATATATCTAAATTGCCTGAGGTCGTCTTTGCCTGTTATTTATTACTCAAATAATGACTTTTAATGAGTAAAAAAATAATTAATGAAACCATAATATTATATTTACTATTTAGCCAAACATAAATGAGGGTTATCAAGACACTGACCAAGATGAAGATGAAGAAGTAGATGAAGGTCCGGATCGAAAATTATTAGAGGATGGCACCAAGACCTTAGTTCCAAACACACAACTACCAACAGAAATGGATGACAGACCTCCAGATCTGCCCCCAAAACAGAGCAGAAGACATCCAAATGGTGCTATTCCTGGGATAGGAAATGGAAGTGCTGTTTCAATGGAAGAATTACCACCTGTTTTACCTAGAAGAAAGAAAGAACTGGTATATGGCTTGAATTTTGGTGGTCCGATGAGTCAGTGCATGTTGTTCACATTAAGTTAAAGGTTTTTGAGTCAGTGCATGTTGTTCACATTATGTTAATGTTTTTGAATGCTTTGTTTTTCTGAAAAAAATGTTTTTTCTTTGGAGTTGTATTTCTAAAATGGCCATATTAACAGGAATAAGTTTAAAATATGGATGGATCAGAGTTCATGAGCTTGTAATAACTTAATCTGAAATAGAGAAAGATTTCATCATCCTTGTGAAAGGTTAACTTCTTATATTATTGTGCTTATTTTCTTTTACTATTGTTTGTTAAAATGATTTATAATTAATTATGTTTTTCAGGATAAGACTTCATCTGGTCGACCTGTCAGCAATGGTCTCCCTCCTACACCTAAAGTACATGTAAGTGTATTATTATTTATACCCAGATGCAGTTCCAATTGATCTAGTTGCATGGAATATTTCAGACGATCACCCAATTAATTTCCTCTTCTTACATTAAGACTATAGAACTGCCTTATCTATCAAGAACAGTTATGGCTTAAAAGTGAATTTACATACTAATTCTCCTTTGACTATGCTTAATAATCATTTTTATGGCCCCGCAACAAAGTTGTCTTACCCTTGTCAGTCATTCTGTCATTCTGTCTTTCCACCATTCCGTTATTCTATCATTCTGTCATTCCTCAACAAACCATTATACGCAACTTTTTTCTAAACGCCTTCAGATATTTGGCTGATTTTTATACGACCGCAAAAAATTTTTGTGGTCGTATATTGGTATGACGTTGGCGTCGTCGATGTCCGAAGACACATTGGTTTTCGCACTATAACTTTAGTTTAAGTGAATGGATCTCTATGAAATTTTACCATAATTTTCAATACCACAAAAGGAAGGTTGGGATTGATTTTGGGGGTTATGGTACCAACAATTAAGGAATTAGGGGCCAAAAATGGGCCAAAAATAAGCATTTTCTAGTTTCCAGACAATAACTTGTGGAACGGTGTATGGATCTCTCTGAAATTATACAACAAGTTTCCATACCACAAAGGGATGGTTAGGATTTGCTTTGGGGGGTTATGGCTCAAACCGCTTAGGAATTAGGGGCAAAAAAGGGGTAAAAACAAAGTTGTCTTGGTTAATGGACAAATACTTTAGTACAAAACATAATTTAAAGCAGTGTAAGGGAGATAAATCAAATACATCATTTGAGTTACCTCCCTTACACTGCTTTTAAATTATGTATAAACTAATGGTTAATGAACAACTAAGACAATTTAAAACAGTGTAAGGGAGGTAATCCAAATACAACGTTTTGATTACTTCCCTTACACTGCTTTTAAATTATATATATATATGTTTAAAGAAATGCATACTTATAAAGGAAGACCTGTAAAAATATCTGCAAATGTTGCATCTTTTTTTTTAACAAAAAAATCCATATGAAAGATTTGACACAATATTTTAAATTCTAATATAAAATAGATTAAGTTAGCACTATGGTAAATTTAAATGGGTAATAATGGTTGAAAACTCCATTGGAAATTTGAATTGAGATTATGACCATATCTTGAGGGAAAGAATTTTTAGGGGGAAAAAGAGGGGGGGGGGGGGGGGGTAAAAAGAAATTTTTGGGGTCAATTTTTTCTCATTTCAGATTTCAGAAATTAAAATTTTTTTTTTCAAATTTCAACTATTGAAAAATTTAAAGAAGTAATCTTTAATTGCACAGTGTGGCGCATTAGATTTGTAAAATCTTTGACCATATTTATTTATTTGTTATGCCGAATCTAACCGTGTATTTAGATTTTTAATTTTGGGTCCAGTTTTCAAATTGGTCTACATTAAGGTCCAAAGGGTCCAAAATTAAACTTAGTTTGATTTTAACAAACATTGAATATAGGGGGTTCTTTGATATGCTGAATATAAACATGTATTTAGATTTTTGATTTTGGGCCCAGTTTTCCAGTTTTCAAGTTGGTCCAAAATTAAACTTTGTTTGATTTCAACAAAAATTGAATATATGGGGTTCTTTGATATGCTGAATCTAACCATGTATTTAGATTTTTTATTTTTGGGCCCTGCTATCAAATTGGTTTATATTGAGGTCAAAAGGGCCCAAAATTAAACTTTGTTTGATTTCATGAAAAATTGAATTATTGGGGTTCTTTGATATGCCAAATCTAACTGTGTATTTAGATTTTTAATTTTGGGTCCCGTTTTTTAAATTGGTCTACATTAAGATCCAAAGGGTCCAAAATCTTAGACCACATTCATTCTGTGTCAGAAACCTATGCTGTGTCAAATATTTGATCACAATCCAAATTCAGAGCTGTATCAAGCTTGAATGTTGTGTCCATACTTGCCCCAACTGTTCAGGGTTCGACCTCTGCGGTCGTATCAAGCTGCGACCAGCGGAGGATTTTATTGCTATGTGAGTTAACCATGATGAGTTACAGATCAAGTTTAAGCTTCGTTCCGCTCTGGCGAAATTATGGGCTTTGGACTTTGATAAATTATTGAAAATCACAGTTATACAGACTTTTTTATGCCCCCCGTAGCGGAGAGGGCATTAAGTTTTACCCTTGTCCGTCTGTATGTACGGTCCGTAAGTCCCAAAATTGGTTTCCGTTCTCTAACTTAAGTTTGCCTCAACCAAATGTTATGAAACTTATACATAATGGTAATTACCACAAAACACAGATCAAGTTTGAATTTCGGTGGCGTTACTTTAACCGTTCTAGAGTTATGCTCCTTTATAAATGGAAAAATTGCAAAATTTTTAGTTTCCATTCTCTAACTTAAGTTTGCCTCAACCAAATGTTATGAAACTTATACACAATGCTTATTACCACAAAACACAGATCAAGATTGAATTTTGGTAGCGTCACTTTTATCGTTCTTGAGTTATGTCACTTTATAATGTTGTATGCAAGTGGGGGCATCATCTGTGTCCATGGGGACACATTCTCAATTTATTTCTTAATGCCTTCAGATATTGGGCAGGTTTTTGGTGTGTAAATCAACCATGATGTGTTACAGAACGAGTTTAAGATTTGTTCCGCTCTGCTGATTTTTGCTGAAATTACTGGTTTTGGACTTTCAAAATTGTTGAAAATCACAGTTATACAGACTTTTTTTCTATACGCCTTCAGATTTTGTGCTGAGTTATAGATCAAGTTTATGTTTCGTTCCGCTATGCTGATTTTCATGTCGTTTCAACACATCTTGTTAGATCTGCAGTACATCTACTTCCTGTTTGCTGATAGTTTGAAATTCAACTACTCATTGATCAAGGAAATTTTTCATCAAACTAGAATTGGTCTTGAGAGCTGGATACTATCCATGCATGTTTGTGTCAACATTTGTTGTTCAAATTGCAGATTTTTCAACCTTTTTTAGTTCCGACACATCTAGTTCAAACCTAAAATTAAATCACACATGATTGGTTGAATTTCTATTGTTAAGTAAGTTGTTAGCCAATCTCATCAATTTGGCATAAGTTTTGAAAATATTCACCAGAATGCCTGAGATCCTGAAATGTGTTTGAGAACAATTTTTTATAATTCCAGATGGGAGCCTGTTTTTCCAAAGTGTTCAATGGATGTCCTCTCCGTATAAACTGTACAGCAAGCTGGGTACATCCTGATACAAGAGGTAAGGCTTTTTGTCAGTGTTTATCATTTTTTATCATTATTATACCTTAGGCCAACCTTAAAAATATGTTTGTTTGCAGTTTTCCGACTGTACCTTCAGACTGCAGGGTCGGTAGGTAGGAAAAATATTTTATTTTATCAGCCAGAATAAAGTTTAAACAAGCAGTTTGACACAAATCAAGTTTCTTGTGAAGAAAAGACATTTTAAAACAACAAACACTGAATACCAACATGAAATGAACAGTCATTTTCAGGTAAGCACCTTTTTAACCAAAACTGAAACTTAACATATAGTGTAATTATATAATTTATGACATAAATTTATGGTATTATGAAATACTGGAACACTTATAGACAAGAAATTAATGATTCAAAAGAAAATTTAGGAGTGTGTTAAAAAAAAAATCAACCATTGAATCTTTCTCAATTAAAAAAAAAAGACAATTTAAAAAAAAAATTAGATATCTGACTGTTATAAAGGTTATATTTGGAAAGATATGTTGATGCCAGGCTTTAATTAAAACAAACAAAAATCTTAAGACTAGCTTTGGGGTGAAATCCATAGCACGTACATACCCCATTAAAAGTAAATGGTCTGTACTGAAATGTTTTGACGGCATAAAAAAATTGGCAGCATAGCTCCTAGTTAAGGACATATTTCAATTCAATTCACACAGGCCACACAGTTTGGGTATATTTAATATTGTAAGATAGAGAATAATGATCAATAATTGTAACATGTGCAATGAGTGGGACAGCCCCCCTTATCCTAAAGGAGCATACTCATTGCAATCGAAGATAGATTTGATACAGAGGGAATATATTTATTTCTCAAGCCAACCATTCATTTTCTCTACATCTTTGTGTAGTTTGTGTGGCTTCTTATTGATTTAACATTTCAAATGCGTCCTTCCATCGTACAGGCGTGTTTTATACAGGTATCCATGAAGTCACAGAGGAGTGGTTTCATCTTTGTCGTCTTCACGACGATTTCAAGAAAATATGGCATACTTCAGGCTGCTGTCAAATTGTTGAACCACTGATATTGGTTCCATAAAGTCAGTCTCAAAAGATTCTGTATCCGATTTGTTTGAGACAGAAACGGTTATTGTGTCGGTTTTATGAATATCCGCTGCATCATCATCAATGATATCATCGAAGACATCATTCCGTGTGCAATTCTGCCTGAATCAGTATAAACAGTTTACTATGAAACTTTTCTGTGTATTATTTGTCTTAAAATTGACAGAAGACGACAGAATAAAGTACTCCTCCATGACTTTGTGGATACCTGTAAACAATCTCCATGTGCTTTACCATTAAAGGGTCCGATGAACGCTTGACAGGAAGGGAAGAAAAACTGAACTTCAATCATATAATTGACCTAGACTTGAAATCAATTCTGGAAACGACCCGAAATTCCGGATCGAGTCAATAGAAGTATTAAAAATAATTTCTTCAAATTAAAAGCAATAAAATGTTCACAGTCGGGCGGATTTTCGAAGGTCGGTCGGTAAACTGCAAACAAACAATATTTTATTTTAAGCCCTAGCTAAGATCGAGGGGATATACTTTTTTACCTCTGGCCGACTGTCCAATGAAAATTGTATCTTTTTTCTAAGCATGTGATTCTAAGGAACTACAGACCAGAGCTTCCTGAAATTTGGTATCAAGCTTCATGTGAGCACGTTATACTGTGTGGTGCATTTTCACACCCATCACTCTTCAACTTCCTGTTTACCAAATACTTATATATTCTTACAATTAATGGCCATGTATGAAGTTTTCATCTCATTGTTCTTAGGCAGCTTCTTGAAATCTATCAAACTTACTGTGTGATGCGTTTTCTCATTCATTGTCCATCAACTATCTGTTTACCGAATACTTATAGTGGGGTGTCATTAATGAGCAATAGCTTAGAGTACATCTTGTTATTGTTGGATGAGCTTTATGAATCTGAGTTCTATATTTGGATGAAAAAGTTCGTCATCTTCAGTCTTGTTATCAGGGCACCGCCAATCCATTGGCTTGTCCGTATGTGCATCCTTCTGTGTCAAATTGTTTCCGCTCTCTAACTTTCACACCCCTTGAAGTTGGGTAATGAAACTTTGCATGATTGTTCACCACTACTAGAAGGTGTTAAGCATACAAGAAAGAAAACTGTACGGTCAAATTCCTGGTAAAAAACATAGTTCAACTTGGTCACCCCTGTGATTATGTACACAAAATTGTTTCTGCTCTCTAAATTTGAAACCACTTGGAGTTTACTACTGAAAATGGATAAGATTATTAACCACTACTAGAAGGTGTGTCATATACAAGGGAGAAAACCCTACAGTGAAGGTCAAGGTCAAAAACTTAGTCACCCCTGTGCATATGATTAAAACTTGTTTCCACCTTGAAACCCTTGGAGTTATACTTAGCATGATTATTCACCACTACTTAAAGGTGTGTCGCGCTCAAGGAAGAAAACCATACATAAATTGTCATGAACAAAAAAATTACCCATCTCTGTGCATATGTACAAAAGTTATTTCAGCTTCAAAACCCATTGCAGTTTGGGGTTGAATTAGCAGTGCATCAGAAAATTTCTGCCTTCAATAGATATAAGATATGTTTAAAGCAAATAACAAATCACAATTTACTTGCTAAGTCGAGTAGGGCCCTCTGTGATTAGACTTAACTATCCTCTAGTTTCATAATTATAAAGAAGCTAACATATGCAGACTACTACAAGTGTTAAATAATACATGTAACTTTATGTATATGTTACTTGTATTATTACTGTGAATAGACTATGATAAAGAATCTTAAAATAAACATTTGTAAATGTCACTCAAGGTTTTGATTATAGTTATGATTAATTCTCTATGGTTGCTATGGCAGCAATATTTAATTGGCCAGAATGTTCAAGTTTTTCTTTGTAAGATTCTATTAATTCAATGAAATTTCCATTAATGACATGAATAAGTCTTTAGATGGATTTTGATATATTCAAATTATTTGAAAATCATAAATAATGAAAATTGCAAAAAAAATATATACAACTGTTCCTTGTAACCTGTACATAATTATGGAAATAATACAAAACAATAAAGTCACCATGTAACCATTGCATTCTGGGATATGAATTGGCCATAAGTGATTATTTAATTTTACTTTCTACAGATCAATATCTATTACTTGGTGCTAATGAAGGCCTGTACACATTAAACTTGAATGAGATTCATGAATCATCACTAGAATTGGTGAGTGTTTACATTTATATCTGTGTAATGGGATCCATGAATCATCACTAAAATTGGTGAGTGTTTACATTTATATCTGTGTAATGGGATCCATGAATCATCACTAGAATTGGTGAGTTTTTACATTTATATCTGTGTAATGGGATCCATGAATTATCATAAGAATTGGTGAGTTTAACATTGATAACTGTTTAACATGAACATGAATCAACACTGGAATTAGTGAGTTTTACATTGATAACTGTTTAATGAGATTCATGAATTTAGATTCATAAATCATCCCCAGAAGTAGTGAGTTTTTACATTTATAACTGTTTAATGAGATTCATAAAAACATTCACTAGATATTGATGAGTTTTTACATTTATATATGTTTAACAGAATTCATAAATCATCACTAGAATTGGTGAGTTTTACATTGATAATTTTTAATGGGATTCATAAATCATCACTAGAATTGATGAGTTTTTACATTTATAGCTGTTGAATAACATTCATCAATCATCACTGGAATTGATGAGATTTTACATTTATAGCTGTTGAATAACCTTCATCAATCATCAATAGAATTGGTGAGTTTTTACATTTATAGCTGTTGAATAACCTTCATCAATCATCAATAGAATTGGTGAGTTTTCACGTTTAGATTCCTGAATCATCACTAGAAGTGGATTGTTTTGCATTTATAACTGTTTAATTAGATTCATGAATTATCACTAGAATTGTTGAGTGTTTACATTTATAACTGTTCAGTGGGATTCATTAATTATTCACTCAAATTGGTGAGTTTTACATTTTTTACTGTTGAATGGGATTCATAATCATCACTTGAATTGGTGAGTTTTACATTTATTACTGTTGAATGGGATTCATAAATCATCACTAGAATTGGTGAGTTTTTACATTTTAAATTTTTAAATGGGATTCCTGAATCATTAAGTGAATAGGTAAGTTTTTTTTTCATTTATAACTGTTTACGGGTAATGAGATTAATAAATCATTACAAGAATGGAAATGACCTTCCATAGACTTCTGTAGCCAGGTTGTTTTCTTTCGATGATTCCACTTAGTTGATAAAGTTACTTCTCAAGGACCTTTTTCAAAGCAGGACACAGAAAAAACTAGTTTGATGGTGCCAAACCCTCCCCCTAACCTGGGACAGTGGTGCAACAGCATTAAACAAGAACACACTATATTCTATTGTATCCCTGACTTCATACATCCTTTACATAGTTAAATATAATACAGGTCCTTAAAATGTAACCAATAGAAAGGAAAATTTTCATACCTCATTCAGATCCTTCAAATGTTTAAAATAGAAAGGAACATTTTTTCTTAAGTTTGAAGGCAAAAAAATAACCGGTCTGAGATATTTAGGAAATATCTATGATCTTTACTTTGTAAAAAAATATGGCTATCATGATGATAAATGTAATGGAAACAGCATGTTCAATAGCCACCAGTACCTTGCAAATTGATTTCTGGAGTAAAAAATAAATTGTAAGACCAAACAACATATGATAGAATTATTTAGAACAAAACAACATATGATAGAACTATTTCAGAACAAAACAACATATGATAGAACTATTTATGATAGAAGTATTTCAGAACAGAACAACATATGATAGAACTATTTTAGAACAAAACAACATATGATAGAACTATTTCAGAACATAACAACATATGATAGAACTATTTCAGAACACAACAACATATGATAGAACTATTTCAGAACAAAACAACATATGATAGAACTATTTCAGAACAAAGCAACATATGATAGAACTATTTCAGAACAAAGCAACATATGATAGAACTATTTATGATAGAAGTATTTCAGAACAAAACAACATATGAAAGAACTATTTCAGAACAAAACAACATATGATAGAACTATTTATGATAGATGTATTTCAGAACAAAACAACATATGATAGAACTATTTTAGAACAAAACAACATATGATAGAACTATTCATGATAGAAGTATTTCAGAACAGAACAACATATGATAGAACTATTTTAGAACAAAACAACATATGATAGAACTATTTCAGAACAAAACAACATATGATAGAACTATTTCAGAACAGAACAACATATGATAGAACTATTCATGATAGAACTATTTCAGAACATAACAATATATGATAGAACTATTTCAGAACAAAGCAACATATGATAGAACTATTTCAGAACAAAGCAACATATGATAGAACTATTTATGATAGAAGTATTTCAGGACAAAACAACATATGAAAGAACTATTTCAGAACAAAACAACATATGATAGAACTATTTATGATAGAAGTATTTCAGAACAAAACAACATATGATAGAACTATTTTAGAACAAAACAACATATGATAGAACTATTCATGATAGAAGTATTTCAGATCATAACAACATAAGATAGAACTATTTATGATAGAACTATTTCAGATCAAAACAACATATGAAAGAACTATTTCAGAACAAAACAACATATAATAAAACTATTTCAGAACAAAACAACATATGATAGAACTATTTCAGAACAAAGCAACATATGATAGAACTATTTCAGAACAAAACAACATATGATAGAACTATTTCAGAACAAAACAACATATGATAGAACTATTTCAGAACACAACAACATATGATAGAACTATTTCAGAACAAAGCAACATATGATAGAACTATTTCAGAACATAACAACATATGATAGAACTATTTCAGAACAAAACAACATATGATAGAACTATTTCAGAACACAACAACATATGATAGAACTATTTCAGAACATAACAACATATGATAGAACTATTTCAGAACAAAACAACATATGATAGAACTATTTCAGAACACAACAACATATGATAGAACTATTTCAGAACAAAACAACATATGATAGAACTATTTCAGAACATAACAACATATGATAGAACTATTTCAGATCAAAACAACATATGATAGAACTATTCATGATAGAAGTATTTCAGAACATAACAACATATGATAGAACTATTTCAGAACAGAACAACATATGATAGAACTATTTCAGAACAAAGCAACATATGATAGAACTATTTTAGAACAAAACAACATATGATAGAACTATTTCAGAACAAAACAACATATGATAAAACTATTTCAGAACAAAACAACATATGATAGAACTATTTATGATAGAAATATTTCAGAACAAAACAACATATGAAAGAACTATTTCAGAACAGAACAACATATGATAGAACTATTTCAGAACAAAACAACATATGATAGAACTATTTCAGAACAAAACAACATATGAAAGAACTATTTCAGAACAAAACAACATATGATAGAACTATTTCAGAACAGAACAACATATGATAGAACTATTTTAGAACGAAGCAACATATGATAGAACTATTTCAGAACAGAACAACATATGATAGAACTATTTCAGAACAGAACAACATATGATAGAACTATTTTAGAACAAAGCAACATATGATAGAACTATTTCAGAACAAAACAACATATGATAGAACTATTTCATAACAAAGCAACATATGATAGAACTATTTATGATAGAAGTATTTTAGTAGGAAATAAATTTGATCAGTTAAAAAAAATAAGAATCTGGTTTACCATCTTATGTTCAGAAATAAAACATCTCTCAGTTTATTTATTAAAGTTCAAATAATTTTGTTTGAGCTAATTACCGAACCAAATCTGAAATTGAAATAACATAGAATTTAATATGGTGTTGTTTTATTTTTCCAGTTACATGCCAGGAGATGTCTGTGGGTTTATGTGATAAAAGATATCTTGATGACAATATCAGGTATACTAATAAAATTTGGTAATGGGTCTGTCTTTACTGGTATAATGTGCTCTCTTGTTAATTGTTTCTCAGAATCATTAGATATTTCCATACACTGTTATTTAAAAAAAAAAAAAACAAGATATAATTTGATGAGATAGTTCTTTCCAGAATTAAAAATCGGAAAAAGGAAGAACAAAAAACTGTTTTTCTATGCATTTCAACCAATTACTAATCTGACTGAATACATTCATCCAATTGGTTTTTAAGTCAGTGCTTAGTAGTTAAGTTGTATTTTCAAAAAAAGATGTTCTTACATAGACTACATCAAACTATTTATGTATATATTACAGCATGAAAGATCAACAGTTTATAGCTCATCATTGCTTTTGTCTTCACACACATATTCTTAATATGTCCATGTGGAAAAGAATATTATTTTCCTTCATTTTTCACCAAAAAAAATATTTTCTAGAATTTTGACATTTTGGTGTTATTTGTCTTACTTTTCGTACAGTACAAAAATGTGTGGGGTATAATGTTTTTGACCCATTTGTCTGTCCATCCGTCAGTTTTGTTCTTGTCATCACAACTCCTCTGAAACCACACAACAGAATTACATTAAACTTTGTAGATAATAAGGACATACTATGCAGATGTGCACATGGACAGGAAATTATGATTCAATTTGTTTTGTAGGAGTTATGCCCTTTGAACTTAGAATTTTGACCTAAATATATTACTGCACCAATTTGTCAGTGAAGCTCCTCTGAAACAACACGACAGAATTTCATGAAACTATGTAGTTAATGAGGACATAACATGTAGATGTGCATATCCACAAGAAGTTTTTATCAGTTGACTTTTGTAGGAGTTATGAGTCTGAATTTAGTTGAGATTTTGTTTGCCCAGTGACAATGTGGGTCCGTGGAGTATGTGAGCGTGCTCAGAAAGGTTCTTTCATTTGTGCAGTTGAACCGATTGTATTTATGTGTCACATGTCAGCTTCCTGAATTGTTGTCGAAAGCCTCACACTTTGTGTATCTACAACTCTGTAAAAACTATTTAACAGTATTCAACAAAATTTGCACAGAATTTTCTACAGGAAAGAAATGGTGCATCTTTTTTTTTTTATTTTTGTCTCACCTTGACGGAGTAAAAAAGCTAGACATAGGAATGCTGTTTCCGGTGTCGGCAGCGGCATCAACAATGTATTAGTTTGTGATTAGGTCTAGTTCATGGTGAACCACTAGTGGTAGGTCAATGATATTTTGTATGCAGTTGTATTAGCATTGGAACATCTCATTACCATGGAGATGATTTGGCCCCGCCCCCTCAGTCAAGGTCTATTGACTTTGAAACTTTGCTTAGTTTACATGTATTAGTTTGTGATTAGGTCAGTTTATGGGGAACCACTAGTGGTATGTCAATGATATTTGGTATGCAGTTGTATAAGCATTGGCATATCTCATTCATGGTCTATTGACATTGAAACTTTTGCTTAGTTAACATGTATTAGTTTGTGATTAGGTCAGTTTATGGGGAACCACTAGTGGTAGGTCAATGATATTTGGTATGCAGTTGTATAAGCATTGGCATATCTCATTTTCATGGAGATTATTTGGTCCCGCCCCCTCAGTCATGATCTTTTGACTTTGAAACTTTTGCTTAGTTTACATGTATTAGTTTGTGATTAAGTCAGTTTATGGGGAACCACTAGTGGTAGGTCAATGATATTTGGTATGCAAATTTATTGGCATTTGCAAGTCTCACTTCCATGGAGATTATTGGACCCTGCCCCCTCAGTCATGGTCTATTGACATTGAAACTTTTGCTTAGTTAACATGTATTAGTTTGTGATTAGATCAGTTTAAGATGAACCACTCATGTTAGGTCAATGATATTTGGTATGCAGTTGTATAAGCATTGGCATATCTCATTTCCATGGAGATTATATAGCCCCACCCTCTCATCATGCTTCATTGACTTTGAAACTTTTACTTAGTTTACAAGTTAATGTTTGTGTTTAAGTTTGTTTAAAGGGAAGGACTTATGTTAAGTCAATAGTATTTGGTATGCAATTTTATTAGCATTGGCACATCTCATTTCCATGGAGATTATTTAGCCATGTACCTTCAGTCATGGTTCATTGACTTTGAATATTTGTAAATTAAACTTACATGTTAAAATATTGCTATTTTAATTTCAACATTTGCATTATCAAAATAACAACAAGGCGAGATATATCTCTGGGTTAACAGTTTATTAAAATAACATTGTCATCTTTTAAGTTTGATAAAAGGAGTAGGTTCGACAAGGCTCGAAAATGGCCCCTTATTCTAGCTGAAATTTGAAATTAGGATTTATTGACCAATGTCACAAGGAATAGTAGGTAATGTAATGACTAGATTGGAAAAATGTTTTTTTGTTGAAAATTTATGTTTTTGCGTTCTATTCATGACATCACAAATGGCACTCATTTTGATTTTCCGTGAAAATTTTATGAAAACGGGTAAATTTATGATGATTTATTTGAGAGGAAACATAGAGCGCATGTGTCAACAAAAAAGATATTCAAACCTAATGTTTGTTATGACATTTTACATATCTGACTTGAATATTTTGTTTTTCGACGCCTGCGCTCTATGTTTCCTAGGTCTTAATTTGGTTGAAAACTGGATGATTTTGTCCAATTTCGCAAAAATTTCTATTTTTAACCTATTTGGGATGTCAAAATCAATGCTTAAAAATAAACTCTGGCTAAAATAGTTCTATATAACTTTCTCACATGTCTTTTCATCAACTTAAAACACATTTTATCCTGAAACATTGAAATTAATTATCAAATTTGGCCCTTCCCGAACTTACTCCTTTGGTTGATTATAGCTCTTCTCAACATACTGCATAGCAGGTGAATGATACAGGCACCTTGGAGCCTCAATTTTCAAATATTTTGAGATGTAGGACACCTTGTTTTTTAAAATAGATATTTTTTTATAATAATGATTTATTCTAATTATAGGTAAAACCCCTCACCTGTGGCGACATGATTTGATGATGATACATTCGAAACAGACAAATAGGTTTTCTTTACCTATGAACAAAATACCAGAAAAATTAGTTCCAAGGTAAACATTAGAACATTAAATTTGCCTGATCATAAATGAGGCATGAGCTTCTAGACATACCTTCATCAATATATGCTGCTTGGTGGTTAAGGTCGAGTTACAATAAAGGGGCTATGTCACAGATTTTGGTAAAAATTGGCATACACCTTTGACTCCTTGGACTATAACTAAAAATCGAAAATAGATGATGCCGAAAAAAAATAATGCATTTATCTCTTTTATTATCTGAAATATTACCAATTGAATTCTTTCAAAATAGGTGAACATTTGTATAGAAAGCTAAACACATTCTTAAATTTGTCTTAAAATCATCAAAAGTTGAATTTCAAATACAAAGATTTTTCTTATAAAACTATATGTTGTTGATACAAATATTTCTGTTTTATTGATGTAAAATAATGCTTTCTATACAAATTTTCACCTATTTTGAAAGAATTCAATCACTTATATTTAAGAAAATAAAAGAGTCAAGTTTGAGCTTTCTAAAAAGCTGAGGACTGCTTCGCTCTATCCTACTTTAAGGTAATATGTGTGCATGTGGTTGTTGATTTAGTATTGGAAATGTGGTATTTTTAGATATTGATTGATATAAAATGGATGTCTTAGACTTGGAATATAAATTTTTAAACGCCCGTTTACGGGACGTATTATGGTATACCGTTGTTCGTCTGTCCTTCCGTTGTCAACATGTCGGACATTAACTCAAAAACGCTTTAACCAATTTGCATAAAACTTTGGTGAATTGTTTATATCTATTGACGTGAGCTCCCTTCCGTTTTTTATAAATTTTAGATTTTACGTTTCCGAGTTATGGGGTTTTATTCATTAAGAAAAGGGGGATTTTCCAGTTTTCGGACAATAACTCAAGAATGCTTTTACCAACTTGCAAGAAATTGTGATGAATTGTTTATATCTATTGACATGAGCTCCCTTTTGATTTTTATATATTTTAGATTTTACGTTTCCGAGTTACAGGGTTTTATTCATAAAAAAGGGGGATTTTCCAGTTTTCGGACAAAAAATCAAAAATGCTTTCAGAAGTTCTATGAAACTTGGTGAATTGTTTATATCTATTGATGTAAGCTCCCTTTACATTTTCATAAATTTCTAATATGACATTGAGAATTAATTGAACTTTAATTGTTTATAGTCTGACAACAGATTTACTAAGTATTGCGCAACAGCACAGTGTATTGCACAACAGGAAGAAATCTTTAATTGAATATAAATTCAATTCATATAACCGATTTCAAGTTCTTTGACTACATTTATTCAGAAACCTATAATATGTCAAATATTTAATACAATCCGAATTCAGACCTGTATCAAGCTTGAATATTGTGTCCATTTTTGCCCCAACTGTTCAGGGTTGGACCTCTGCGGGCGTATCCAGCTGCGCTCAGCGAAGCAGTTTATTGTATATATATTAAGATGAACTTTTCTGAAATTTTAAACTGGCTGTTCAGTGTTTAGTTGTCAATGTGTTTTTGTGGAGTGTGTTTTTCTAGTTCTTTCAGCTGGTCATTGACTTGCAATTTTGGTTGCTAGTTCTGTATATAATTTATTTAGATATATATGAATGTTAAGGTATGTTGATTATGTTGAGTAACATGATTTCGAGTGATGAAGACAATAACAATCAAAACCGAGGAGTAAACAAAGACTTGTATAACCAAAAGATATTTACAACAGTTAAAATCAATAAGAAACAGCAGTAAATATTTAGTTTCAGTGAAAATGATGTTGCTCTACTTTAAGAGTGTGCATTATACACCCATGCTTTAAAAATTTTGTTCACTTTAGTTGTTGAAAATTAAAACATTTAAAAATAGACACGATTCGGAGGTGTGCCTAGATTGGCAGAAGTTTTAAAATACAGATAATGCATTTTTGTAAACATTGTATAGGAACATTGCTCAGCAAAACAAATCGTGCATATTGCAGATTAACAAAGCAAGTAAACACATATTAATAATTGATATTTCAATATTGAATTTCAGTGTGCAATATATGCATAATAAAACGAACATGAATTAATGACAGTTGAACGGAACTGTTATACACATAGTTAATGTTCCGGCATTTGATGTCTTATCCTGAGACGAGAAAAGTCTGTAATTCTTTATCTCATTTAAGCCAATAGCTGTTGCTGTATCTCAGCTGCATCATAAAGCAACAAATCAGAATCTATATGTGATAAATAAATTATTTCAAGATGGCATGTATATCGACTGAAACTAATAGCTCCGCACCGTGATGCGAAGCAATAAATGCATTATTTTTTTCAATTTTTCAACCAGCCAAAGTTCTATGCAAAATATTACAAAAATCTGTAACATAGCCATTTACTGTTCCTTGACCTTAAGTAGTATTCAAGTTAACCATTACCTACATTTTGTGCTTGAACAACAGTCAACACTGAGTTTGTGAGTTTGAACCCTGCAGATGAGAGGTGCCTTTTAACTCTGCTGAAAGTGGGGTTAAACACCAACAATCAATCAATCTTGAATGACTGTAATGAATTTTTGTGTTTAGGTTTCTTACTCAAGGTTCAGTACTTTTCTTTCAAACTGGTATGTACCATATAGTTATCTATATTAAAAAAGAGGCAGAAGATAACAGGGGAACATTCAAAACTCATAAAGCCCAGATAAAATGAAAGACAACAAAAAGATACATAGAAAACTAAAGACTGAGCAACATGAACCCCACCAAAAAACTGGCTGTGATCTCAGGTGCTTTAGGGTAAACAGATACTGCTTCAATAGTGGCATCCGACAATGTTGCTCATAGGAATTAATTTTTGGTGATAAGTCTCATTTGATGATCACAGAATTGATTGTGGTCACAAAAATTGGCACATATCTGTTGTCATCTGTGACACAGATACTCCTTAATGTTCAACCAATGATTGGCTGAGTTCTACATTGTTGCAACTTTGTGCTAAAAAGACATTGTTTTATATTAAGATGAAACTGGTTTGACAGTGTGGTTGATACTTACAAGGCTTAAATCTGAGAAACATAATAATAAATAGCCTTATCTTGAGGGAACGTACTTGAATTTTGAATCAATATCAAACAGCTAACCTCTTAAAGTATGAATAGCCAATGGAGCTAAATTGAAAATAGATTTGGGTTAGAGGGTGTAATAATTTGACCCAAGCACTTTGAACTTTATAAATAATCCTAAAACAGTTTTTTTATGCTCTCAGTAAAACTTTCCCATGAGTACCTCATACATATTTTGTGTTCATTATTTTATTAGTCCCCTACCGACAAAGTCGAAGGGGACTTTAGGTTTGCACTCTGTCCGTCTGTCCATCCATCAGTCCGGCAATTCAGTTTTCCAGACTTTTTTTCTTCATGCTTGAAGATATTGATTTGATATTTGGTGTATTGTTTTATCATGACAAGTTACAGGTCAAGTTCGATTTTCACAATTTTAGCTTTTCTCCTTGTTCAGTTAAAGCCCTTTCCCTAGAAATAAATTTTTGATGAAATACTTCTTAATTATTAGATTTCTGTTCAAAGGGAAGTAACTCATTTTTTAACTTTCCCTAGAATTAAATTTTTTCATGAAATACTTATTAATTACTAGATTTCTGTTCAAAGGGAAATAACTCATTTTTTGAAAGACTTGTAAAAGACATTGTATTAAGATAAATGACATTTTGGATTTTTTTCCTTTTCTTTAGTAAATCGTTTGAAGAATTTAGTGGTAAGTTTGTATTTTATTTTATGTTGTTTACACCATGACAAGGTATAGATCAAGTTAGAATTTCCTTCCATTACAATGAATTTTAACCGGTAGGGGACTATGTATTGTCATGCAATACTCACAGAATGCTTGTTATTTATTTTTTTCAGACGGTTTACACCAACGACAAAAGTACCTGATACAAAAGGCTGTAGTAAATGTTGCGTGGGAAGAAATCCCTACAATGGATACAAGTATCTGTGTGGAGCTTTGCCCACTGGGATCATACTCATGCAGTGGTATGAACCACTCAATAAGTTTATGTTGTTAAAAGTAAGTCTTTGATTATCTAGGATTAGCATTGACCTTTCGGATCAAAATCAAGAAAGTCCAACAGTAAAGTCTGTAATAAGTCACAACAGTGATTAGTAATTCTGTTGGAATTAAAATGTCTTGAATATTATATGTAAGTGTCAACAGTGATTTGCCACTCTGTTGGCATTAAAACATCTAATTTGCCACTTGTTATTTCCTGCATTGACTTTGTACTTTTTTTTTCAGACATTTGATTTTGATGAAATGCCACTGGATTTAACAGTGTTTGAAATGTTTATCTCCCCTGAATTGGAATACCCGATGATTTGTACGGGTATAAGGAAAGGGTAAGTATATATTTATTTAACTTGAATGTACTAAGGTTACAACTAGTCAGTCAAACAATGATTAAAATCTCAGAAAAAAAACAGCTTTTAGTTTTAAACTGAGAATGTTTTTAATTTTTTTTTGTATAACCTCCACATTTTTCCAACCAAAAAAAGACTACTTACTTACATATTCTGTGCAGCCTAATAGACATGAGTTTTACTGCATTACTGCCAGACCGTCGTAGTCCAGTAAACTGTATGTAACTACCCAAGTTACCCTTATAGTCATTGTTGTTCTTTGATGCATTACTTATGCTAGCAGTACCAACAGAATACATTTTCCACCATAGGTTTTTATGCACTCTTATTTCTGCCACAGTTAATTATCTGCAACGATAAAATCTATGGGTGTATCAAGAAAAAAAATCATATAAACTTTGTTTTATTTATTTACAGGCAAGATAGAAACCATGTACAGTTTGATGTGATAAATTTGAATTCAAATTCCAGTTGGTTTATGGAATGTAACGAAGGTAGGTTAACTATTCATGAATATAGCGAACAATAGCATCAAAAGGTTTTCTTCATTTAATTAACTTATGGTTCGTTTGATCTCAGTTCTTCATTGGTCAAAATTCGATTATGATGTCAAATCTTCTTGCTTTCCTCTGAATTTCCTATTGTGACGTCACGTAAAAAGGCGACGATGCCTGATGACGTGACATAGAAAGAACACATCTTTTTGCAAATCATTCAAAAGAAGGATTAAGATTGTGTGTATATCTTCCAAAAATCATTAGAGATGCAGGTTGCACCACCAAATCTTGTGCAATACACTTGATGCAGTGGTAGAATCTATATATATATCAGAATAATCAAGCAAATAAAGCTAGTGGTTTAATACCTATCACAATGACACACTTCAAGTTCAAGTTGTAACTCTCAGTTTAGATGCCTTTAGTTTTATACAGTTAATATTTGAATTTTTCCAGTCTTGTTGTATTTGAATCTGAAGCCTCAATTTTTTATGCATAAATTATATAATCATATGATTTAAGATTACATTCTAGAAATAAAAATGTGGTCTTATATAATATGAAAATGAGATTTGAGATTTAATTATGGCCAGATACTGTATAATTTTTATCCAATCAAGTCAAATTTTTCCTTGTTTTGTTTATTTTTAGTCAGACCATTAATGCTTTTGTTCCATTGATTTTAGGAGAAGCTTTACCTGTAGTTAATGTTACCCAGTTAGAGAAAGATACAATTCTAGTCTGTTATGATAGTAAGTATACATAATTTAATATTTTTGTGAATGTGTCGTTATGAAGCCAATACATATGAAGAGATTTTATTACAATGGTCTCATTTATAGACCCCTTAGGTATCAGACTTACTATTCAGTCCAGAATCTTTTTCTGTGATTGAACCATCAACCCTTATTTTACCTGAAGCAGGTATAGTAACCGCTCGACTCCATCCATTCGTCCAAAAGAAAACTCTGTCAAAGTTCTTGGCTTCTATGGAAGGAAATAATTTAATACTTGGTCTGACTCTTTATAATGTTGACTTGTAGCTAGTAAACAATTTTTACATCTGCCATGTCTTTGCTTCCTGTTTGCAGATAGTTTGAAATTATCATGTCGTCTTCGTCAGAAGACATTTGGTTTCCGGACAATAACTTTAGTATAAGTGAATGGATCTCTATGAAATTTAAGCACAAGGTTCAATAGCACTAAAGGAAGGTTGGGATTGATTTTGGGGATTATGGTCCCGACTGTTTAGGAATTAGGGGTCAAAAAGGGGCCAAAAAAGGCATTCTTCTAGTTTCAAGACAATAACTTGTGTATAAGTGTATGGATCTCTATGAAATTGTACCACAAGGTTCCATACCACAAAGGGAAGGTTAGGATTGACTTTGGGGGTTATGGCCCAAACCATTCAGGAATTAGGGGCAAAAAAAGGAGGGATAACAAGGTTTTTCTGGTTAATGGACAATTACTTAAGTATTAGTCTATGGATCTCTACGAAATTATAACACAAGGTTCCATACCACAAAGGGAAGGTTGGGTTTGACTTTTGGGGTTATGGCTCAAAGGTTGTGGCTTAAATCGTTAAGAAACTAGAGGCCAAATAGGGGCCAAAAACAAGACTTTTCTAATACTGGCTAAGCTGGTTCTAACATAAATCATTTCTGATCTATATAAAGAAACAACAAATTCTGATATGGCAGGAGATACACACCAAACAGGGTGTGTAAATTATTATATTTTGTTTGTAAACAGATTTACTAAGTATTGCACAACAGCAAAGTATTGCACAACAGCAAAGCATTGCACAACAGCAAGAAATCTTCAATTGAAAATAAATACAAATCTTTTAACCAATTTCAATGAGGATTAATTTAAAGTCTTAAATTGTTTGAGGTTTTTACCATGTATTACTATATTGGATATTTGGACATTTTGAAATAGGTCTACATTGAGGTCCAAAGGGTCCAAAATTAGACTTTGTTTGATTTCATCAAAAACTGAATTTTTGTGGTTCTATGATATGCTGAATCTAACGTTAACTGTGCATTCAGATTTTTAATTTTGGGCCCTGTTTTCAAATTAGTCCATATTAAGGTCCAAAGGGTTCGAAATTAAACTATGTTTGAATTCATGGTTTTTTTTATATGCTGAATCTAACCATGGAATTAGATTTTGGATATTGGACCATTAAGTAGATTAAATGTCCCATTTCAAATTTTTAAGTTATCTGACCACATTTATTCTGTGTCAGAAATATATAATGTGTCAAATATTTAATCACTATCCAAATTCAGAGCTGTATCAAGCTTGAATATTGTGTCCATACTTGCCCCAACTGTTCAGAGTTCGACCTCTGCGGTCGTATCCAGCTGCTTCAGGCGGAGCGCATTTTTACATCTGCTGTTTAGTCACTTTCTGTTTGCCGTAAGATTGAAATTTTACAACACACATTGTACAAAGAAAATTTTTGAAGAAGTTTTCTTCGCATCAGTGAAAGGGAATGATTAGTTATGCTCCAGTATACATCAATGAATTACATACAGTGATGCAGGTCTAGACCCTGTATTGGTCTTGTTATTGCTGTTAGTGTGGCATAGACAGCAGAATTACTGTATAATGCAGTTAGTTATAATGGTTTTTCTGTTGCAATGAAGAGTATGAGAAACAAGAAAATATTTTATTCCTTCATGTCAGTTTTAGCTGTTGTTGAAATATTTACAGAATTGATAGTTTGAGTTTGCCATAATGAGACGGGGTCAAGGACTAATTTATTTGGTAAGCAAGGTAGAAAAATGCTCGACTGTCTTTTTATGGGGAGCCTACTTTGAATGGTGACAATATCCTTTGTTATTTGAGATGATTTAAAGTTTCTTCATAAGAGGATATAGAGAAACATTTTATTTAAAGCATTTTTTTTAATATGCAGAATAATGTAATTTTAGTTCAGTTATGGTTAATTCAGTGTTGTAGTATATACATGCATAATTTTGTATTACAATTATGATACTATTGTATTTTCTTCTAAAGTGTATAGATCAATTGACCGGACTTAAATATTTTAGAGGAAACAAAGGGATTTTCATTCTGTCTGGGAGTGACAGTCAGTGACTTACTGTTTACTAGATAATGAGCCATATTTTAAGCAAGCTTATATTTACATTTAACAGGGATGAAAAAGAAATTATATACCGTTTAGGACAAATAGCTTTCAGTTTTGGTCATGACTGTCAAATATAATTGTTTCCAGACCCTTGGTGCTGAGCCTCTACATGTTCTTCAAGATTTTATAAAAATTGCCAAACTATGTAATTCAGGCACCTTTACAGATGAATTTTGTGATTATCAGATTTATGTTTTTTATTGCAGAATTTGTAAAAGTTGTTAATATGTCAGGAAAGTTAAAGTCAAGTAGAAAACAAGCAGCAGAGTTACATTTTGATTCTACTGTGCAGTCATTAGGTAAGTGAATGTTATTATGCCTCCATTCACAGAAAGGATGGTCTACTGCAATCTCTTGGTCAATCTGCCAGTCAGTCTGTCCATTCTTTGTTCATTTGTTTATCCATCTGTTTGTTTGTCTTATGATATATATTACTGAGCTTCAATATAGATAAGTAAGGACAGTCTGTGCCAAAAACTTTTCCAAGCACTAGACCATAGGGCTAGTTGATTAAAAAAAAACCTAGCCCGAATTGATGTATACCAGACCTGAAAAATTTTGTGTCACTGGTGAGGATCACGAAGTGATCCTAACCTCCTAGGAGGGTTTGGGGGCATGCCCCCCTAAGAAAATTTTGGAAGATTAGATGTAAAATCCTGCATTCTGAGGTTACATTTTTGTATCTGAAAGTGAATATAACTTATCAAAAATTTTTTTTTTTTTCTCCAGGTCAAATGAAAAATTCTTATTTTCTCCAATAAAAAATTATAATAGTTCTTTTGCCAAAAAAAAAAAAAATCTTTTCCATAAAATTGTACCATTTCAAGTAAAATAAGCCCTAGTAAATTATTACTCAACTTAGGGATTGTTACTTTTTAGGGGGAAAAGTAAGTCAGTCAAGTCTGGCACTTCTTTTAGATCTGGAAGGGGCCTTCATTTCTTTATTATTTATTTTGTTATGCTATTTTAAAACCTCATTTTTCTCAATTCTTTATTTTTTAGGCAATATTTCTCGTAAACAAATATTTTTTATGTTTTATTGCCCATTATTCTCTATCCTAAAAAAAAAACCTATCAATACCCTCTATATTGTCACTTTCGTTAATTTTGTTTTAAAAAAAATAATAAAATGCCTAGATTGTTTTCTGCATAGGTTTTTGCAACTCGAAACTTTTCCGGTTATTCATGTTGGAATTTTCAACTTTTCAGTGTTTTACCTGGGATAGACCCCGAATTCTTGATTGTTTGTTTACATTGAGCGGTATTTATAGATTGTTTTTATTGCAAGCACGTGGTTGAGCCTCGTTCTCGATTTCGTTGGTCTTTAGTTATATCGCGTTGACGACTGGTTTCCTTTTATTAGAAGGGTGATCAACCGTATATAATTGAATAGGGATACCAGTTAACGGATGAAAACAATGTCGGCGACAAATTTATAACTTGTTCTCATAGATTCAATAAAATAACGGCTACAATTTCGCAAACGATTTCAGATGTTCACTAGACCGGTCGGGCAATCACCAGTGCTTCTGCACAAGTCCGATGAGATTTTTACTAGTCAGGGGCTTCTGGCTACCGCTTAAGGTCGCAGACTGTAAGGATTTAATACTTGGTGTGGAAATTTATGATAAGTTGTTCCATGTAAGCAATATCGGATGCATGAGACACTTATTTCCTGTTTGACAATACTTTGAACTGTTAGTGAGAACTGAGCATGGAATTTTTGGTCAATGACTAATAAACAAGTTGGGGTATACTTTGCATGACATCATGTGCAGCTTCTCCTTTATCAAGTATTCATAAATATGATGCAGTCATTCAGTTTTTATGTATTCTTATCCAGGATTGATAGCAATTTAATCATGGAAGATTCCTTCCTCTTAGTAAATTATGACTTTAACTTATTGAGAAATCCTAGAAGATGACTGCAGTGTTTGATGAACTTTTAAAAGATGACTGCAGTGTTTGATGAATTTTTAGAAGATGACTGCAGTGTTTGATGAATTTTTAGAAGATGACTGAAGTGTTTGATGAACTTTTAAAAGATGACTGCAGTGTTTGATGAACTTCTAGAAGATAATTGCAGAGTTTGATGAACTTCTTAGAAGATGACTGCAGTGTTTGATGAACTTCTAGAAGATAACTGCAGTGTTTGATGAACTTTTAGAAGATGACTGCAGTGTTTGATGAACATCTAGAAGATAACTGCAGAGTTTGATGAACTTTTAGAAGATGACTGCAGTGTTTGATGAACTTGAAGAAGATGACTGCAGTGTTTGATGAACTTTTAGATGATGACTGCAGTGTTTGATGAACTTGTAGAAGATGACTGCAGTGTTTGATGAACTTGAAGAAGATGACTGCAGTGTTTGATGAACTTTTAGATGATGACTGCAGTGTTTAATGAACTTTTAGAAGATGACTGCAGTGTTTGATGAACTTTTAGAAGATGACTGCAGTGTTTGATGAACTTGAAGAAGATGACTGCAGTGTTTTATGAACTTTTAGATGATGACTGTAGTGTCTGATGAACTTTTAGAAGATGACTGCAGTGTTTGATGAACATCTGGAAGATAACTGCAGAGTTTGATGAACTTCTTAGAAGATGACTGCAGTGTTTGATGAACTTCTAGAAGATGACTGCAGTGTTTGATGAACTTGTAGAAGATGACTGCAGTGTTTGATGAATTAATGAATTAAGTGTTGAATTTTTCTATTCACCCATTGTGAAGCCGTTGGAATAAACACCATCTGAACAAACTATCTGTTTTAATTTTTAATAAATGAAGGTATATATATATATATAATTGATGGTTTACTGAGCATTCTGTTGAACCAAGCTCTTATTTGTAATTTTATTCCAAAATACAAGTTATTCTGGATATAACTCTTTCTTTCTTTCTTTCTTTGGAGTTATTGAAGGGCTTTTCTTATACCTTTTATTAGCCCAAATTGTTGTATATTTGTTACCTCTTTGCTTCTCTTAATAATTTTGAGTGAAAAGAATTGATCATATCAAAAGTAACTTTAAGAAATTCTCTTTTTCAACTTGGTATCAGTTGGCATTCATGGTACTGGATGATTGTCATATGACAAAGTCGAGACTGTTTAGGGCCTTTAATTCTGAAAAAAAAAAAGACAGTGATAACCAATTTACTATTGACTGCAGAATCGTGTTCATGGCTTATTATTTTTCATAGAGAGATACTATTTCATTAGTTGACAGGATCTTGAATAGAATTGAAGGTCAATTGAAAAATCAGGTCATTTTGACCTTTATTTCAGGCATGAGTGACTTCAAAACAAATCTAACATTAGCATGAATATTTAAAATAGTAATTTTTAAAGAAATTTGTTTATTGACTCATCCTAAGTAGTAAGAAAGTTCCTTGCTCATTTTTTGGTAGATGCATTTCCTTTCTCTCAGGAATATAAATGATTAAGCAGTAGCTTACACAACATTGTGTTGTTCCTGTTTCATTATTTGCCACATTAAATCATAGATGAATTTTATTCAAAGATGTGATCTTATATCAGTGGACACCTTAAATGCTACTGTTAAGGAAGCTTTATACCATGAAATCTTGCCTGCATTTTCTCGCAAATTATAATTACAATTTTGTAGTTATGCCATTTCTGAAAACCTATCCCAATTGCATGGGAAATAAAAAATGGTCAGATACTTTATTTTCACTAATTGAGATGATTCATTTTGCTTGTTTGTGATAAAATATCTATTTTTCTAAATTTAAACATAATAGATGATAAATAACTCTACATTGTGTAAATTATATTTGTGAAAATTTCTTGTAAACAAAAATATTTTTTGTGATCCTATTTTTCAAGGATTTCTGGAAAAAGTATATGAAAGTATTTGAATTAAAAAAACAATTCAATTAACAAGTTCTGAAAAAAATTGAGTTATGGTCCTTTGATTGAAATGCAACTTATTCTCCATACAATGAAAAGACCGAAGGAGAAACAACTACAAATGTTATTTATTGAAACAATAGCTATCCCCCACTGCACATGCCAATTTTAGTCTAAAATTTCAGGTACAGAATAAAACCCTTGAGCTAAACTTCAAACTCAAAACCTTATTTCATACCACCACATGGTAAAATACAATGATATTATAAGAAAGAAATCAACTTGTCTTTATAATATGATAAATGTGTTGCAGCTCTAAAGCTTTCTCAGCATCTTTGATGTCAACATTTCTGCTTCCAGACAATGTCCAATGGGAGGAAAAAGAAACCTATAAAATTTGTTGTAAATAAATCACAGCAGCTATTGATAGACTTAGATTTGAGGAAATAATTGTTTTTTCTGGTTCCCTGGATTATCTTTTAAGCCATGTGTCAAATTTTTCTAAATGTGTTTGTTTTAAAATATCCCATTGGATGGAGAAGATCCAGTGTGATTTTGGGGTCAATAGGTCAGTTATTGAAAGACTGAAATTTGGGGAAAAAGTTGTTTGTTTTTGGTTGCCAGATGTTATCTTTTGAACAATATGTCAAACTTCTTTCCAGATTTGGTTTGATATTGCCCAATTGGATGAAGAAGACTATTGATTTTGAGGTCATCACATCAAGCTCAAGTCAGAAATAGATACACTGATATTGGTTCAAAGTTTTGGTTTTCTGATATCTTTTGACCATACATGTATGTCTAACATTCACCAAACTTAGCTTGAGAATGCCGTTTGAAAAGAACAAGACCAATTTTGATTATAGATCTAAAAGTCAAGGGTCACAGCAATTATTAGACTGAAATTTTGGCAATTTTTTTGTTTTCAATTGTTTGATATAAATTGTCGGCAGACTTTACAGTGTTTTTTGTTACAAACAATAAAATATGTCACTAGGTCAAAGGTCAGGATTACATCAGCAATATTACTGGTAGACTGAAATTTTGGAAATTTTTATGCCCCACCTAGGGGCATTATGTTTTTCGGTCTGTATGTCCGTCCGTACGTCCGTCCGTTTGTCCGTCCGTTTGTCCGTCCTTCTGTCCCGCTTCAGGTTATAAGTTTTTGGTCAAGCTAGTTTTTGATGAAGTTGAAGTCCAATCAACTTGAAACTTAGTACATATGTTCCCTATGGTATGATCTTTCTAATTTTAATGCCAAGTTAAGAGTTTTGACCCCCAATTTCATGGCCCACTGAACATAGAAAATGATAGTGCGAGTGGGCAGGTTAAAGTTTTTGGTCAGTTAGTTTTTGTCTCACCTGCGACTAAGTATGCGAGACATAGGTATTTCTATCCGGCGGCGGCGTAAACTATTTGTATAAAGCTT